TTGCCGCTTTAATCTAAATAAAATATCTATTACAATCATTTGCTCTATAAAGTAAAATGAAGAGCTGCTTGGTATCTTAAATTATACAACAAATTTAAACATTTTTGCCAAAATTTCATTTAGTCAGGTTTATAGACTTTAGTGTTAATGTCGGTATGATTGATGACGTGCATCGGAAAATGTTTTGCGATTACAATATGTCAATAACTTCCTCGTTTAAGAACTGACAAGATCGTCAATTCTCTAGACGGTCGTCCGTCTCCGTTGTTTTGTTTACACACAAAAGGTTGTGACAGGTCGTCCGTCTCCGTTGTTTTGTTTGCACACAAAAGGTTGTGACAGGCAAGACTGACAGGTAAAATGTTATGTGTAGACGGGACTTTAGAGCTAAAAATTAAACCACGAATTAGGGAAAAAATGAAACAAACATATTGAACAGCATTTCTTATTTATTTATTTACAAATTATTTATAATTAAATTTTCCCCGAACAAACAGGGCACAAATCGACAGTACGTCTATTTTTTATAACATTTGGTATACAGTAACAAATAATTTAGAATTAATAAACATATTTCATATCATTATATTTATATATAAAAAACGAAATTAGGAAATCAGTCATTTGAATGCCCCAAATTAAGACAATACATATATCGAGATTTCTTTCGCGATTTCAATTGAGGAGAGGCAATAACGACAGGCATACGTGACACGGTACAACTATATACAGGGTGATATGCGTTCGAAAACCACTCACACGCAAATATTTCTCAATATCACTTCCAATATGACAATAACTAGTATAAATATGAAAATATTCATTCGTTTCAATACTTACATCGCCTAGCTACATATAAAAATAGACTTCTCTTAATAAGGTCACCCTGTATATCATATATTCGGCTTCAAAAATTGAGCAGATTAAAAATGATATTGTTTTTATTATAATTTTAAACTACTAATTTCAACAAATATATCAAAAAGTATATTTATTTAAATACTTGTATATTTAAGTCTAAAAAATATATTTTGGAAAACAAAAATTTAAATCCTATGTGCACATTGCACAATAATTTTCCCTCAAATTCGGAGTCTTTGAACATAATAAAAAATAATAGTTATTAAAAAGTTATACTTTTTATTACAGGTTTCTTGAACCATTTTAATTCACCTTATAATTAATAAAAATGACACATTTAAATTTGTAATGTCTGTTAATGAATTAAAAAACAACGTCGTAGAAAGCTTTGAAATTATTAATTGATTGTAATTTTTGTCGGGTTCGCAAATGTATGTTATTTTACTATAAACTGATACAAAACTTGTCAAAAATTGATATTTGGTATAGAAAAATTCATAATTATCCGGTTTCCATTTTTTAAAAATAGTATATTGTTTTATTAGGAGCAAAAATGACACGTTTCGTGGCGAGGATGTATGTTTAACATACAGTCGAGGGCACTAAGTCATTTTTACTACGAATAGAACATGCTGTTTTTTTTTCAAACGCCACAAATAATTTTTTGAACAATTTCAAACGTTCCAAATAATATAAAAAGATTTAAAAAGTCACGCCTTGTAAGTAATTATATACCAAGAAACTACGGTTGCGCTCGTTGAATTTACTACTTTATGTCAGTTTAATAATATACTTTCGTACTATTATGCTTAGGCATAGAAGTGCTTTACTTTTATGCCTAGGCTGTAAAATGACTTTTTTATATCGTCAATCACGTCGCAAAAATTAATACTTTTGTGACTATTCTTGTGTGACTTTGTGAATATTCCTCTTTTTTCACTTAAATATTAATTTTTGACAAGTTTTATGCCAATTTTTAATAAATTACGTACAGGGATCAGTCCAAAAGTCATTTGATTGATACTCCAGAGGCTACTATGACGCAGTTTTTTCGGTAGAGTAATATTTTCAATATAAAATACCAGTAAATTATGTTCTAGTTTAAGTAATGTTGTAAGTTATTTTCTATATAAGATATTCTACAAAAAAAAACAGTGCCACGTATGCTGTCCACCAACAATTTTTCATAAAAAATTTGGAATGATAATACCTAATCAAGAGAAAAAGATTACATAATTAGCTATCGATATAAAAAAACATAGGTAAAAAAAGCATTAATAAATGGCTTGGGTTAGTAGATTAAAAGTAATTTTAGATCATTTTACTATACTTTTTTATATATAAACCTTACATAAGCAAGTTACTTGACACTTTGTCAAAAGTGACATATTTACTTTCTTTTTGACAAATTTATTGCGACAGTTCATTTTGACTAATGAGTATTCAGTATGAAAATATGTATTTGTACAAAACAAAAATGAATTAATTCATACAACATTATGAAAGGCAAGAAAACCGTATTTTGATTTGAAATCTTAAATTTTCATTCTGATATTATCTTACAATAAGTACGAAAAAATTAATAAAAATACACTCCAAATCAAAATCTTAATGCAACAAAGGTTCTCTGTCTACGATCACAGATTACATAAACAAATCAAACGTTAATATCAAGATATTCTTAAATAACTATCACGATGTATGATGATTGAAGGTAGTAAACTTTTGGAAATTCAACAAGAAGTCTCGACCAACAAGCGTTATCGGTTACACGTATATTATATTTAAGCCACCCTGTACATTTCAAATTTAAAAAGAAATATACAGCTCGTCTTAATAACTTTAAAAGAAACAAGTAAAAACCTGAAAAATATTTAACATTAGATCACATTTCATCTCTATATACAGGGTGACCTATCAATAATACCAAAAAGAAGATAGTTCACCCTGTATCACATATCCCAAATAAAAACGTGTAAATAATTGTATCTAAAACGATTTAGACTGTTTATTTGGGACGACCGCGAAGCTAAAAACTCTTACTATCCAAAATTTTGATTATGTTTATTTGAAAATAGGATTTTTTTTCTAGAAAACAAATGATTTATACATGTATAATTTCACTAAACAGATGGTGTTTGAATATTTCTAACTAGACAGTTTTTTGAAATGATGACGCACTTCTTGCACTTAAAATCACATATTTGTTTATAAATAATTGCTTTTTCTATAATATATTGTTTATTAAAAAAAATAATACTTACAATATTTACAAGAAACCATGAACAATAAAATAAACTATATAATACCGGGTGTTAACGATAAGTATCTTCCAGCTATACAGGGTGAGCCTTAAATAAGTGGAAATATTTTCACACAGGGTTGAGGGATCTCGATAAAAGAAACATATTTTTTCTTAACCGTTTTTTTTAAATAAGTCCAAAATAACCGAGTTTTTTTTACTTTATTTTAGAAAATTTTAATTTTTTTGATTTTGAGAACCACTGGATCTCTTCTGGATTTTCTTTCTTGTAAATTTAATCTACTAGGTACCTATGTTGCCATATTATCAATATATTATACTTTTTAACTAAAAATTTAAAAAAAAACAATTTCTCATTTTTTTCGCGAAAAAACCTCAAACCTCAAACCTATGGAGTCGAAATATACCACCCCTAAAAATACACTTATTTAATTAATACACTTATTTATGACTCACCCTGTATAAGAAAAACCCCGCTTATTTTTACAAAAACTATCACCTCCCGAATTTTTTTCACACTTATCATTCACACCCTGTATACACCGCTACATTCGTAACAATGACAGCTGATGTGATATATTTGAAGTCCTTGTTAAAAGTCAAAAATTAAAATAAAAAAATATAAATAAATGATTTTCAAATAAAAACAAACATTTTTGAAACTATTTATATTTTTATATTTTATCGTTTGACGAAGAATTCAAAGTTATTAAACGGAAATTTTTAGAAAAAAAAAGAACACAGTTTATTTCCAATAGGATTCCAGTATATTCTTACGTATTCTAAATGAAATTCTGACTCTACATTGTCAGTTTGTCACACAGATAAGTCAACGTATCAAGTATATTTTGGAGATACAGCTACACAAATCATATTATAGTCTGTCCAACGAGTCAGAGAAGATTTCGACTAGGGAATGCAATCCCGCAAATGCGGGATCCCTCTGAGATTCCGCGGGATCAAAGTTGCGGGATTTACCGTGCGGGATCCGCGGGATCGACCCATTACTACTGGGTGACCGAATCGATCTCGATCAGGGTCAAACCGTTTCATTCCGGGCCGATGCGTCGACGGTCGGTATCTGCGGGATTCCCCTTACGGCTTGGCCATTAAAAATAAGTGAAACAAACAGGTTACTTGTGAGATCTTTCTAGCGTATGTGCGTAAGTGAAGAAAAGCGTTTAACTAGTACTTGTGGACAATTTCGTCAAATAAACTGCCGGACATATGTAATTATCGGGACAAGCAAAATTTTAGGGTAAATTTAAAGTTGAATGGGTATCTCTTGAACTAAAAAAGCTTTTCGGATGCGGTTTGGACCAGGTTTTAGATGCATCTATTGTGATAAGATGCTATATGGTTTTCGAAAATATATTTAGCGAATTCTCGTATACAGGGTGTTTTATAAGAGTGTGAAAATTTGGTCAAGAATCTTTTTTACCGCAAATTTACAATTTTTAAAAAATCGAAATTTTTACCAAGTACGACTAATCTGTATTGAAATTAGAAAAAATCAATTTGATAGGTTTTTTTTATTTTTTTTTGTTTTAAGGAAAATACGACGTTTTTTAGAAAAATGTGCATTTTTAGTCATACGTATGGTCCTAAATGGTACAAAAAGCTTTGTACATTCTGCATATGCCAAAAAATTATTGATATAGAGTGTATCTAAAAGCAGATAACTAACACAAGTTAAAAAAAACTTCAACATCAGAATAATATTTTTATTTATAAAATAAGTAGATAAATTATAATAAAATTTAAGTTTATTTAATATTAAATATATTTTTTGAACACCCTGTATACATCGGTCCAAATTTCTGTACAGCTAGTTTAAGATACACGCTATATCAATATATTGCGGGACTATGCAAAATGTACAATGCCTTTTGTACCATTTAGGACCAAATGTATGACTATTGTTTACAGTCCCGCAATTTTGCGGATCCGCGGGATTGAGATTTTGGTGCGGGATTGCATTTGTTAAATTCGACAGACGACATTCTAAAAATGATAGAAAATTCCATTTACCTGTGAATTAAAATGGCAGACACGACTGTCACTTCATCAATTTTCTCGTTGGCTAGACTATAAATGAAGGGCAAGGGGAAAAACCAATGATGTCCATTTTACAGGAATTCTTAAGTAATCAATTTAATCTGTCAAGTCTCAAACACATGCCAAATTGTAATTAAATACTACAATGTCCAAATAATAATGCATATTGCTATAATATTTTTGTATTTTTAACATGATACTTGGCAACATTAAATTATATATCTCTGTAAAAGTCAGTTTTTTGACACCTCGTCTGTTCCCCTCCCCCCTTACCTTTCAAATATCATTGTCACCATAAAGTACTACCTTGTAACAAACCGAACAACCTATATTTTTGCTTGAAAATGTATTTATTGTTCTAATAATTTGTTGACTCATAATTTTACCTGTGCATAAACATTTATTGTTAATTTTGAAACCACCAGAAACCTAACTAATTTTTGTTAGTCATGGCACATAAGTCGATGTAAAAATAACAAAAAAAATCTGCTCTGGTTTCTTTTGATTATTTCCTCTGCTTAGTCCAAGGATTTATTTTTATTTTTGTAAACAAATACAATCATCTAAAACAACGTTAAACTTAAAAAAAGTAAAGTAAAAAATGTACAAATCAGGACGAAAAAATAACGAGAAACAAAGAGGAATCCGTTCCCAGCAGAGCTGTCCGAAAAAAATCGAAAATATAAAAGAAAAAAACATGGTTATCGACGACCTAGTACAATACAAAAAGAAAAGTTATCATATATTACAATAATTTAAAAAATATAAATTTATAATTAAAACTAAATATATCAGTTCATTTCGTTCGTAATATCCGCACACTCGCACTATATACACCTGGTTTCTTTATACAAATACGTTAAATCTTATCGCGTAGAAAAATAATAACAATAATTAGGGTTAGTTAATATCTTACACCATAATGGGATCTTCGCAATCCTCCAGCATCTTGCCGCTGGTATCCGACGACGATTGTCTTTTCAGTTTGGGCAGTGCGCTGGTGGATCTCGATTCCCCAGTGGATATCGATCGGACGACAGGTTTTGGCTTGTTTCTGTCTCCTGAAATAACAAATAAAATCAATAAACCGTGATATCCAAGTAACAAAATAATCCAGTAATATTACGATTTAAACCCGACAAAATTCAGAAAGTTTTGAAAATTGGTAGGTTTGTTGGGGATAGCATGAGGTTTACTAAACCGAAAAGTTCCCACCCTTAAATAGTGTGCGTCATCCACATTGTTTCTACCCTCATTTTGAGTTTTTTTAGATAATCTCGGCAACGGTGCAATTCTCAACAAAAATACCTATATAGAAAATTGTTCTTCATAAAATTCTCTATCAAAAAGGTAATTACACTTTTTTTCTAAAGTTAATAATAAAGTGGCAAATAGAGCGCAAATATAAGGGTTGGTTATGACTAGCACTATCTGCAGTTCAATCTAATTTAAAGTTTAATGTTTCAAGCTAACAAAAAGCAGTAACCACTAAATTATACTTAGAATTTTAATATACGTGCTTCTCTCGCACTCCTCCACCCCTATAAAAAGGGTGATTTGTACTTCTTTCCACGTCACCCTAGAGGTAAAGTATTTGATGCGTTTTTTTAAAGTGGTATTTCTATCTATCTAACTCTTCTGCAGCTACATCTGTATTCGCACCCTAATTTGCATGAACATGAAATAAGCGTTAAAACAGATGCAGGGGCTGGTTCTTTGTTTGTCATTGTTGGGGTTAATATACCGCCAACTTTTTTCCACCCCCAGTCAGTAGGTTCGAGCATAACTCCTCTCCATGTTTAAATTTGGTGAAAAACCCGATACGAGTGTTGCTGAGCTGCAGCAGAAGTTGGTGGTAGTTTTGACAATATGACAATGTTGTTGGCTTTACCAACAAGTTTGTTGAAGTACATAAATCGGTATTCATTATTGACAATCTGGTATAAAGCTGCTTTATTAGTTTTCCTCATTAGGCCTTTCGCATAGAAAAGAGAAAGAGGTACTGAAGCTAATTCGAAACTAAAGCACTTTTTTAACTCCAGGCTAGAATGAACGGTGCAAATAATTCTTTGAAATAGTAATGTTGAGTCAACTTGAACATCATTGCCATTAATTTTCATTGTATTGCTCAAACTAGATATCGGCTTTACACGATTTACACGACGCACTTTTAAACTTTTAAATAAAATCCCATCTTTAACATTTGATAATTAGTGGATTAGGCCTACAGGGGACACCACTTTAAAAAAACGCATCAAATACTTTACCTCTAGGGTGATATGGAAATAAGTACAAATCATCCTTTTTATAGGGGTAGAGGAGTGTGAGAGAAGAACGTATATTAAAATTCTAAGTTTAATTTATTTAGTGGTTACTGCTTTTTGTTAGCGTTAAACATTAAACTTTAAATTAGATTGAACTGCAGATAGTACTAGTCATAACCAACCCTTATATTTGAGCCCTATTTGCCACTTTATTATTAACTTTAGAAAAAAAGTGTAATTACTTTTTTGATAGAGAATTTTATGAAGAACAATTTTCTATATAGGTATTTTTTTCGAGAATTGCACCGTTGCCGAGATTATCTAAAAAAACTCGAAATGGGGGTAGAAACGATGTCCTGGGGGATGACGCACACTATTTAGGGGTGGGAACTTTTCAGTTTATTAATACATATGATGTCCTGATTGTTTCCACCAATTTTGAAAACTTTATGAATTTTGTCGGATATATCGCAATTTGAGCCAAAATATTACTGAACTAAAAAAGCAAAAAGACAGAAATCCACTAGCAATACACCACGTTATGTATTGTACAGGGTGTCCCAGGCTGAGTGTGCATTAGAATTGTTGCATTGCTTCACAACGAGATCTATCAATTAAAAATATTTTCAATATGGCGGCACTTCAGGAAATACAGGAAGTTGACGGTAACTTTCGTTGCGGACCAGTGTGAACTCGGCCTTAGGCCAGCCACTCGGCTATGACTCATACGCCCGGCGACGTTTGAAAACAAATAGAAGTTGGTAGAACACGGCTAAGAATTCTCGAGACAAATCTGGATTGTCTGTTTCTCTCATATATAAGCAGACGCCCGAAGCCCGAGGACAGAGAAAAACAACCGGTCGACGCGTACAGTTACAATCGCCGCGCTAATTCAAAATAAATTCCTGTTAGATAAATAGTTAGATAAATTGTAAATAAGTTATAAATAGTTCTTTAACTTTTTTTGAATCGTTATTGTTTGTTAATTAGTATTAAATAAATTGTGTTTAAATAAATTGTGACTTTCTATCCACACGGAACCGACGAAAAACGTAACAATATTTAAATTCTCTACCAAATTTTATGAATTTTTATGTCAAACACTCTATATCTTACATTAACCGTTTTTGAGAAAAAATATATTTAAAATTTTTGGACGAAAAAAACTGCCTGTCAAAAATATGTGATTAGCCCAAGCGTCAAATTTAGTGATTACTACAGCCACTGTGCTATACAGAGAAGACATGTGGCTATCTATTTCAAAAATTAAATTGTTCAAATGTCTTATAATAATGGCCACAGCTGTCATGGAATTGAGCGATTAAAAAATTATCATAAATAATTTTTTTCAAATGGAAATCCACTTTTTTATTTCACTAGTGAAAAGACTTTTCAATTCGTTACTTTTTGACTATACATGTTCCTATACCTAAAATAAATCGTTTTTCAGTTATTTAAGATTTAGTTTTAAGCATATATTTTTCTTGATTTTAACCAGTAGCTTACGACTTTAAACGTCAAGTGATGTAAAACAGTAGATCTCGCCATGTCATATTGTGACACTTTGTTCAAAAAGAAGTATGTTATCGATCATCATTTCCAAGCTAACTTTTCGCTGTTTTTTTTTTCGATCATACGGTATAATATTGTTACGTTTTTCGTCGGTTCCGTGTGGATAGAAAGTCACAATTTATTGAAACACTATTTATTTAACACTAATTAACAAAAACAATAACGATAAAAGACTTATAGAACTATTTACAAACGATTTATAACTAAGAATTTATTTTGAATTTTAGCGCGTCAACTGCACTGGTATATTTATAACTGCCCCCTGTAGGCCACCGCCGCCGGCTTTTATACCGACAGGTAAAGAACTCTAGAATTGTCCATAGATCGTTAGGTGCGTAGAGAAGGTTTTCGAATGTTCTCGTATGTACTAGTCCATTCCAGTGGGACTCGATTCTTCTCGAACGAATGAATCATTGCGGTGTCTATGCGATGTTAAGGTCATCCGAGGGCGGGCCATATTGTGAGGTTAGGTCGAGTCCACACCGGCCCGCAACAATATTAATAATATCAACTATGTATTAGATATTACTAAAGAACGAAAATACGAGATAGATTTTTATAAATACACTGTTTAAGTTCTTAAGCAGGAGTATTTATAATATAGAAAATTCAAATAAATCGTTTTCTGACAGATGGAAATAAATTGTCTGACTGAAACTTAATGTCAAAGGAAGCTAGATAAAATCAAGAAAAATATACATTTTCAAACTAAATCTTAAATAACTTAAAAACGATTTATTTTACGTATAGTAACATGTATAGTTAAAAAGTAACGAATTACAAAATATTTTCACTAGTGAAATAAAAAAATGGGTTTCCATCCGAAAAAAATGATTTATGATAATTTTTTAATCGCTCAATCCCATGACAGCTACCGCCATGATTATATGACATTTGAACAATTTAATTCTTGAAATAGATAGCTACATGTCTTCTCTTTATGTCGCAGTGGCTGTGGTATCACTAAATTTGACTTTTAGGCTGACAGGTAGTTTTTTTCGTCCAAAAATATATTTTTTTTCTCATAAACTGTTAATGTTATGGTGCGTTTAGACTTGAGCACGCACACACTGATCCTTCGCGGATGCTCAAAGTGTAAACGGCTGTGCACGCACACTCACTCTGAATCTGTCTATGTGCGAGCAGCCGCGAACGTCTAGTGTCGGTTTTTGGTCCGTGCTCAAAGGGATTTTATGTGTGCGCGAACGCTCAGTTTGCACCGGCAATTTGTTTTGTCTGCGTGCGTGCGTGTCTTCACTAACACAACTCTGCTGTTCGCGCATAAATGGATCACTTCATTCGTCGAAAAATAAGTTTTCAATTTAAACGGAGTCGAGAGCGCGAACGAGTGCCGTTCGCGTACGCTCAGCTTGTGCGTGCTCAAGTCTAAACGCACCTTTAGAGTGTTTAACATCAATATTCACAGAATTTTACAGAGAAATAAAGCATGTAAGAAAAAATGGACTCACCCATTTCAAATAAGAAAGTTGATGCCAACTTCCGGTATTTCTGGAAGTTCCGCCATATTGAAAATATTTTTAATCGATAGATCTCGTTGTAAACAATGATGTGCAAAAAATCTCCGATCTAGATATTGTGGTTCTCTAGAAATTTCTAATGCACGCTCAGCTTGGGATACCCTATATATGTAGAATGTAGAATGTAGAATGTTTAGAAGGGGAGTTAATCACCGCGACCTTATAGATCTATTGTGTGTTCCCCTTTCTTGAGTTATAACGAGTTATAACTCATCATACAGTCTCAGGGCTTTAAGAAAAGCCAGTATCTGAGACGGCTCCACAGAGGCCAGCTCTCCATCCTCGACATCAGACGTGCCAAGGTTCATGGCACGAATGGTCGTCGTCTCGACGCACTCAGTGATAAGGTGTTCTGGTGTTTCCCCATTTTCCCCACAAAATCTGCATTCGCCGTTGTTTCTCAGTTTCAGCCTATTGAGGTGTTCGTTGAGGAGACAGTGTCCTGTTAGAAACCCCGTGACAATCCGAAGATTGTTTTTACTTAAATCAAGGAAAACCTTTGATTTTTCTCGGTCATAAGTTCTAATACCCTATATATGTAAGTATTATAAAATGCTCGAGAATTAATTTCTTTTAAACGAGAATAAACTCGGAGGGAGATCCGCTCCAAGTTCGAGACGCTTCCGCTTGAAGATCCAGACGACCCGTGTGCGGACGCTCTTATTGGTTTAACTCAAAAATGATATATCATATTTCAAAATGATAGGAGTGACGGAACGATGAAGGACGCACGAACTGATGCCCACTTGCACCGTTTGTATATAATAATATATATTAACTATAATAAGATATTATATAGTTAATCGCTGTTTAGCCTTTAAACAAAGTTTATACAAACGGTGCAAGTGGGCATGAAATTTATCAGACTCTTGTCTAATTAAAGGTTATTACTTGTGTCAAATTATATCAAATAAGGAGCGTTCTGGAAAATCCCCTACGAAATCCGTAACACAATTGTACTAACTTAGAAATTAAAATGACAGACACATCTAACAGTGTCAAGAATTTTGTCGTTGAAAAGACTACATATCTAACTTGCCTAAACAGGACAGATCGTCCAAACTGCCGTCCCCGTCCGTGGACAGCATGTCGTCGTCCGACGTGGCGTGGGTGAGGGTGGGCAAGGTCGAGGCCAGGTGCTCCTTCTCCTTCTGGATCTCCTGGATGTGGTCCTCCAGCAGGTGCTCCTCGTCCTCCGTCTGCTGCTGCGACGGCTGGTTGCTGGGCAATAGCTCGTCCGGACTGAACACCTTGGAGCTGCGCAACGAGGACAGGCGGTTGGTGGCCGCCTGGCAGGCCGTGTCCAGCGTGTCGATGTCCTCGAGGGTTGAACGGAGTTTGCGCAGATGCACCCTACGAAAAAAAAAATTTCGAAAATGTACTTTTATTTTTAAAAAATGTTTAAATCTATTTTAAATATACTCTGTTTTTTTTTCTTAGATAAGATTTCGGCAGACGATGGCAGAAAAAAAGCAGATGACGTCCATACCAATCCATTTAATTCACTAAAAAAAGGTTCTAATATGTTTTAAGTTAACCATGGATGGGTTTATATATAAATCCGTCATGACGTCGTCTCTTGCTTAACCAGTTTTATTGGTTTATATAAAAAATGACAGATCATATTTCAATATTATTGGTTGGACAGAACGATGAACGACAAACGGACGTCGATGCGTATGAACTGGACTTAAGATTTTTGAGAGTTGTCAAACTCTTGCCAAATATAGGTTATAATTTTGTGTCAAATTATGTCAAATAGAAATAATAAATATTTTGCATTTTGGACTGTGTTACTACGTGTTTCGTGTTTTTTAATATTAAGTGGAGGAAAACTCGAAGGAAAATTAAGTGTTGGCCCAGACCATACTTTACAGTTAATATTCGGTGCCCAGAGACCGCCAGAAACACAGTTTGACAGATACTATGGCCAGATAGTTGTATTAGCCACGAATAAAGTTTGTCTACCATCTCGTATATGGTATCAAAAACTGGAGTATCTGTAAAATACCATCACACGATAGGTAAATAATATATTTTAGTACTGCAGAGAGATAATGTCAAAAGGTACTGGTTTAAATAAATTAAGATTAAAGTTAATTAACCAACTTTTAAGGTATAAAATTCAGTAGGTATGTGTTATTATCATAAAATATTTTGTTTATGTTGTGTTTTATTTACTATGCGTTCCAATTGTACCAACTTATTTCTATTTAAAATAAAATAAACTACTTTGAAATTAAAATGCCAGACACATCTATCACTGTCAAGGATTTTGTCGTTGGACAGACTACAGTACTAGCTGGTCTGACTAACTTCTTACCACCTAATAATGAAGTATGGTGAGAGTTTTTTTGTCAATCTGGGTGGTACGGTTATTCGTTAAATGATTTAGATCATTCAATTTGACAGATGTCATTTGAAGAGTGGAAATAGGAAAGTAAGGGTAAGTGGCCAAAATCATTTTTTCGAGATAAATGAGAAAAACACAGTAGAACTGAAACTAATACATTTTTAAAATATCTTTTAAAATACATATGATATACATAAAAAATAGACGCTTTCGCCTGGCACTTGTAACTTTTGTTAGGACATGCAGCATGGTACTTATTACGTTTCTAATGCAATAACTTAATTTTGAAAAATTTGGCACTTAACCCCTTTGGTATTTCCACTCTTCATGTGTTCTCTATATTTTTGTTTATTTTATAACTTAATATTTTTTTTTATTTATTTCGATTCAAGTATTTTCTATATATTTCAATATCTTTGTATATTTGAATATGCTATTTTCCAACTATTTTCAGTTAAATGTCTATTAAATAATGTCTAGTATGTTACTGATTTGCGATGGACTTCAATTATTACAAATAAGCTATAAGCGTGCGTTATGTGAACTATCAACTGTGGAGGATGGCAAAGTTCCAATTTTTTTTTTCAAAATAAATTTGTGTCATTTTTTTCCGATATTTTAGCCTAATAGTTGTTATAATATATATTATTACCACTAACCACTATACACAAGTGTATAATTATTGACATTCTTAAACAGTATTGAAATATACTTTGACAATGTAAATCTTCCCTTACCTGATTATAGTTTCGATGCACTGCGTCTGACTACCAATATCGTGCAAACTCTGCTGCGCAGGTACCCTGTTATTCGTCCTCAAGACACAAGGGGCGAACACGATGGCTAACGCCGACGCGCTCATCCTGTTCGTCTCCTCATGGTGCGCCACCATCGCCAAATGGAAGATTATCCTCTCCATGAGGTCGTAGTTGGACTGGGGCAACTTTTTTAGGATGTCGTACAGCGTCGTTATTCGATCGGTTTCGTTCGTGAGGTTGGCGGCCGTGATGAAGTTCTCGTAATATTCGAATGTTAAGAGGGGTTCGGGCATCTCCCGAAGAAAGCACTGAAAAAATTAAATAAACACGTATACTCAGATTCAGGAATGATTATGATTGCTTGAAAATAGTTTTATAAGGAAAAAGACATGCGAATCAGATATTTTAATGTGCTAGAGTGAGACAACTATCTAATTTATTAGCTTAGGACTGAGACAGCTGTTCCATAAAAAAAAATGTAATGAACATAAAGTTCAAATGATTTAAGTCAAAGTCTTAAATCATTTGAACTTTATGTTGAGGTTGACTAAAGCTTGATTTTATGTAGTATATACAGGGTGTTTCAAAACAAATGCGAAAAACTTCAGGGGGTGATTCCTTATTCAAAATAAAGGGTAGTTTGCTTCATAAACGTTGGGTCAAAAGTCAACCATTAGGGAGATATCCCGGTACAAAGATGGCGGAAAAATAATGTTCTTATTTTTTATCTTGAAAACGAAAAGAGATAGACTAATGAAATTTTATGGAAGCATTACTGTTATGAAAACACACTTTCTGGTAATTTTTTCACTTTTTTAAAATGAGTGGAAGGGGTTGAAATAAACTACCCCTATCATTCTTGTTAACGAAATTTAAAGAAAAATCTTATCAAACACATGCAAAAATATTAATTTGGATAGTTTAGTTTGTTTAGAAACTTTTTTATCTCTTGTATTTGTTTTATAAAACTCACCGATTTGAAATTAAAAATAAAATGTAAAGCATTACATGTCAAGACTAAAAATATTTTAAGATTAAGAATCTAGTGATAATAATGATAATAATAATAATCTAGATAATAACGTATTGCAGTAGGGTAATGTCAAATAAAACAATATTAGAAACATCCTAAAAAGTGACAGCGGCCGACTAGATTTTTTCCTAAAAGAATTACAGCTGCCCACTAGATTCTTTATCTAAAAATGTTTTTTGTCCTGACATGTAATGCTTTACATTTTATTTTTTAATTTCAAATCAGTGAGTTTTATCAAAAAAACACAAGAGATAAAAAAGTTTCTAAACAAACTAAACTATCCAAATTAATTTCTTTGCATGTGTTTGATAAGATTTTTCTTTAAATTTCGTTAACAAGAATGATAGGGGTAGTTTATTTCAACCCCTTCCACTCATTTTAAAAAAGTGAAAAAAATACCAGAAAGTGTGTTTTCATAACAGTAATGCTTCCGTAAAATTTAATTAGTCTATCTCTTTTCGTTTTCAAGATAAAAAATAAAAACATTATTTTTCCGCCATCTTTGTACCGCGATATCTCCCTAATGGTTGACTTTTGACCCAACGTTTATAAAGCAAACTACCCTTTATTTTGAACAAGGAATCACCCCCTGAAGGTTTTCGCATTTGTTTTGAAACACCCTGTATATATGTTTATTAAGGTTAGATTAAATTTATCATAAAAGTGTGAAAACGTCCGTTATCGTATGAACGGGTCCGTTGACGGCCTAAAGCAAAATATTTACGGATGAAAAGTGGCGCGAAAACGCTATGACCAATCAGAGCACCGTCGGACCATCGTATCAACGTATAACGGATGCATGAAAATCAAGTTTAAAAGTGAGTTTATATGCATCCGTAATGCGTCGTCCGTCGTTCCGTTAGTCCAATCATATTCAAGTATGAGCTGTCATTTTTGAAAAATACCAATAAAATTACATAAAATCAACGACGGATGACGCATTACGGATGCATGTAAACCCACACTAGGACTTAAATAATTTTGATTTTAGAAATTACTTAAGACTTAAGTCAGAATAAGTTTACAAGTTAACCTTGTCCTAGAAAGAAATAAGTAAAAAAATGCATGTCTTCCCTTAAGCTTCACGTTCTTAATGAACCATTCATCATGAACAAAAATATGTTTTGATTAAACATGAGCTGTACAGGGTGAGACTTAAATAAGTGTAAATATTTTCAGGGCTGGTAGATCTCGATAAAAGAAACATATTATCTCTTTACCATTTTTCAAATAAGTCCAAAATAACCGAGTTATTTAAGTATGAAAATTTAAAAAAAGCCACCGGATTTTTTCTGTATTTGCATCCCTTTTAGTGCCGTAACCATAGAGAAAAGCTGTAACTATGGTAGTATCCAATGAGGTTATATACAGGGAGACGCTATGAGCATTTAAAGTGCTTGCGAAAAATGGTAACACTAGGCGTGGCTTAAGGCAGCACCAATATGGCGGCATTAGCAGGGCCGGATTACAGAAACTTCTTTGAACATTTTTCTTTTACACAATATAACGACCTCAACTTTTTTAAATAAAAAATTAATTAATTAAAATCACTCCAAAACCTACAATTTTTTCAAAAATATAAATTACAAGATTAATTTTAATGACTATATACTATGTATATTTAAGGAGGAAACACAAAAAAATAATACACATTAAATAAATTAAATTTTATTGCTCACTAAATAACACTGTTTTGTTGCTAGTATGTCTTAAACTAATTGCCTTGTTTTTATTGATATATCTAACAATAATAACCTTAACATTTTTAAAACAAATTAGAAAAAAACCGGAAAATAATTAAACATGATTACTGATTTACCATAATTAACATTTTGTTGAGATATTCTGTCAAAACAGCTATCAGAAAAATGTTTCGAGCATAGAACACTACCTGATGTAGCTTGCCAGTTTCTCCTGTTCACAAACTTCACCCAAGCTTCTCGACGGATGGGATTTTTGAAACCTAAAAATCAGATTTAATATAATATTTATTTGATAAAATTTTTCTAAAGAGAGCAAAATTTATATACCACGTACTAAATTTAAAATGTTCTGATATAAAATTTTATTAAAATAATAAATGTTTATCAATAAATATAAGTCGTTAAGACTTTATCTGCAAAAAGTAAATTTACTTTGTTGATTTTATAATATTTATCTAAAAATTAAAGCTATACTATATAAAGTTTGTACATAGTATATGCTAGCAGATGCTAAAAAGGAATGTAAATAAATGTTTAAGTACAAAATCTTTGTGTAAAAATAGAAAAAAAAACCGTAGTTAAAACAAAACTTTTAAATTTGGCCTAGCAAAATACTCTTTCCTGTCAAAAAAAGTATATGTAGTAAAAATAACAGATATTGTTAAGAATTTTTTTTTACAAAAATAGAAGTCGAGGCATGTTTTAATTACTTAATTGCCTCTAACAAAGTATTAAATAACTAAACACTTTGTCAATATAGAAACACTTATATTTAATTAATAAACGCATAACTAGTTAAATGGAAAATACGAAAATAATTTAATCAGGTCCTGTATTATGTTTACACTTACCTGTGAAATGCAATTTCAGTGGATTTCTTCCTCTCTACACGTTGTCGACTGCAACAACTACTTACAGCACACGAAGACATGTTCGGAAAGTCCAAATATTCAAATAAAAACACAAAAATAGTCTTGGAAAATTAAAAAAACACTCGCAGCAACGCACTTAACCTCAAAAACTGAACTGTCAGAATTGCCAGTACCAATATGGCGTAACTGGGTACATTTCTCGATAGCTTATGTCGCCTCCCCCCCCTTATAACCTCATTGGTAGTATCAGAGATTAAGAAATTATATCGTGGCAGTTCTAAAAAGTTTTCGAAAATACAGAGAAATTTAAAGGAAAATGCACGATTTTCAACATCTTTTTTTTTGCGAAAAAAACCTCATAGACGTATTCCTGGGCTCCAAATATACCACCCCTGAAAATATTTGCTCTTATTTAAGACTCACCCTGTATAATTATGACTGATAAAAAAATAATAATTAGACATCAATTTTTAAACGCACCTTCAAAACAGACGCCAACACGTGCACTTGGTACTTCTCGAACTCGCAATTCTCCGGATTCTCGTCCATCGACACCTTCAGCTCGCGTATCTTCGAACTCACCCCCGACTTCCTATATATTCCCTCCGTATACAACCCCTTCAACTCTATCGTATATATCAACTTTTCTATAACGACAGGAATCTTGTGCTCCTCAGTCACCAACGTTATTAAAGCCACACCAAAAATCTTTTTGTTATCCCCCGGTAAAACGGGCTCCTTCTGACATTTACCCGAGTTGTTGCAGCACCGTTTGTGACAGGTCAGTTTGCAACTCTGACACACCAGCCCGCGCTCTATCGGCCACATGAAGAACGAATTACAGATCTCGCAAGCTGTTTGTATGTTAATGATCGTTTGGAGAAAAGTGTGACCGTTAATTTTGACCGTTTCAACCTTACGTTTCTTTTCTTTTTTCCTTTTCGTCTTGTTAGGTTTCTCTTCGGTTTTTGTCGACATGAATTCATCCATAAAGCCCCTGAAAGCGTTAACGCCCAGTATAATAGGGAAGTTTTTCGTTTCGTTTTCTTTAAGTTCTCGCTGACAGGCTGTTTTGATTGCTTGGTTAAAAATCCCGATCAAGTCTCTATATCGCACGTTGCATACTTCAATACCGTTATGCTTTGATGTCGTGCTATAAATCTGTACAAGATTGTCTTTGAACTCTCTTAAAGCATGCTTGAACACTTTGTCTACTTCACTAGATTTGCCACCCTCGTTTTCTATCTTCATTATTTTTTCAGTTATGAACTCCTGCATTAGGGTCAGTTCTTCTGATCCGCTGATAATCTGATCGGTACGATCCGTAAATTCAGACGTTCCCGTTAAACTAAACTTGGCTTCTTCAGACTTCTGTACATCATAAGGCGCCCTAGAGTGTTTCCTATGCTTTCTTTTACCTTTCGCTAAATCATTGTGACTTTCGCAAGGCATCTCGAACACGCTCTTATTCTGAATGCACTTCGTATGGAACAAAGTCTTGCAGGTCGTGCATTTGTAACCCTGAGTAATAAACAGATCGATCTTCATCTTGCAGAAACCGCACAGTCCGTCCCTAGTTAGCCTGTTGATTTTTCTCAAACTGTGTCCGGCAACCTGGAAAATCGAGGTGTTCAAATCGCTCCACTTGTCGCTATTTTTGACAGCGGGACTGGCGTCGATGCTGTTGTGGTCTTTGAGCAGGACTTTGGTGGCGGGGTCGCTGTTGCGTCGGCGCAAATCTAATTGGGGGAGGTTTTGGCGTTGACGTTTGGGCGTTAAAGATTGTTTATTGGGGCTGTCTTGCGAGATAAAGTTGGTGGATACTCGGCTGAAGTCGGGTTGGGCTTTGCGTTCGTCTATAACACCGAGAAAACCGCCTTTTTCGATGCTTCCAGAGTCGGTAACCTAGAAATTAAGAAAAGTGTGTGTTGGTAAAACGTCCCAAATTGTATTGCTGAAAAAAACACACTAAGTATATATTGTATGTAAATTATTTGTTTTTACATAGCTGTAAAGAATAAACACTATAAAAGATTTCTATAGACAACTCACTTAGAAATAACTTATTTTTATTTCGTATAATCATTTTTTTTTGTTAAATTTCGCCACCCTTGTTGCATGATGTGTAATGTATGTAATGTTACACCATCTTTTTCTTCAATAAAGACGATTATTATTACTATTATTACTTAGCAGTTACTGTATATTACCATGCTCATAAAAATAAGCAAAAAATTAACCCTTACCCTTACCTCCTCCCCTAAACTTTTCACGTGCCCCCTTTTCGACTTCCTCGTGCTCCGTACCGGTGCCTCTGGTCTTCCCAAGATCTGTTCCAACTTGCTGGGCGTGTTGTCGCAAGGGTATACGTCAGGCCGGTCCTCGTAAGCCCTACTCAGTCGCCTGGCGGGGAATCCCCTAACCAGCGCCCTCGAATTCTCTCCGGAGTTGCGCAGATCTTTCCTAGCTCCGGCACCGGTGTTCCAATTGACAGCTTGAGTCCGGGTGAGCTGTGGTTTGGCCGGACTACCTACAAGTGTCATGTAAAAACTATGTTAAAGTCAATTCATTTCAAGTTCATTTTAAAGGTTTTGGCCACATTATGGAAAAAATTCGCCATTGTGCTGCCTCTTGATATAGTGGAACGTCAGAAGTGAAACAAATACAGAGGAATAAAATAATGTTTTGGCATGTTGACATCATAATAAGAGAATTATAGCTTTATCTATGCATATACTGACGATCTAAGATATAAAGACACTTGACTTACCTGTACTTTCGCCACTAGATTGGAACTGACTGAATTTTTCCCCAATATGCGGAGGTGCTGACTGGGTAGCTCCGCTTTCCGAAAACGTCTCGCTGGTTGTGCTAGTACTAGACCACTGTTTACCTAAAGGCGAAGGTTCGGACTTGACAACTTCTTTGACAGTAGTGCCTCCTGGGTGGGAGTCAGAACTTTGTTGCGATTCATAACTCCTCTGCGAGTCCAGCGATTCGCCACTTCCTTTACGCTGAGGAGAGTATTCCAATTCCGAATAGTCGATGGTCTGATGGGATTTGATAATTTTGCGCCGAGGGTCCAAATGTAAATCTTCCAGCCTGATTAGATTAGAGAAGAAATAATGTAAACTAACTACTAAAACACATATTTGGGTAAAATTAAATGAGCAATGGCGTCACTCTATATCAAAATAGAATGCCAGATAGAAAAAACAAGAACCACGTTTGCTAGAATGACAAATCTGTTCAAGAGTAGAGATCTTAATTGACACACCAAACTAATACTGTCCAGCCTGTGCTCCTATATGGTGCCGAGTCCTGTACATTGACGTGAAGTGTCCACAAAAATGCTGAAAGGCGAAAAATCTAGCCATTTACAAAAACACTGTTTTATGAGAGACTTTGCCTGTTCAATAGCCTTCCCAAGCTGTTCAGAGGTTCTCCAAATTTATCTTAAGGATAGTCACTTACTATTTGGGTGATTAAAGAATCTCCGTTTTTATTTTATTTTTTTATTATTTTATTTATATTAATACCGGTTGGCTTTAACTCATTTTTAGGGTGGAGATGTTATTTAATTTAAAACACTGTATTAGTGTAATTGATTTTATGTATGTTATATATTTTATTGTAACCAAATTATACTTGTTTAGCTAGCTAGAATGCTAAATAAAGATATATTTATAGAATTACCTAGTTGAAAAACCTTAGAGCCTTGGTTTTCCCTGTCTACACAAGGATTATTTAGAGCAGCATTCAGTAAAGTTCAAATCGCGTTGCTTATCGCCAATATTTGGAAGGGACAGACACACTCAGAAGAAAACTACTAAAAATCGTAATATTTCTTAAATCCCTATACTTTTTTCAAGTTTACTTGGTATTTTACCAGAAAAATAAGCCATTTTAAAATCAAAATAATCGCGCTTATACAGGGTGTGCGATGAAGAACACAACAATATATATCTTGCCCTTTGGTCTCTTGTAAATAATCGTAAATATTGAAAGGGTAATTTTAAGATAAAAAAAAGAATCATTGATACAATGACAGAGAAAATAATCAACCTAGTATCACAGATTATACAGATTATAATCTTTGTTTTTTCTTTATTGTTTTTCGTGGTTCCAATTTTCGGAATCGGGCACTAGTTAGGTGATTAGTTTGCGCACATAGCACGCCCACTTATGGCCTCTAAAATTGTGCACAGCGCCTGACCGGCACAGTGATTAGAGAGATATCGGAAAACCGAATAGCTTCATCCAGTAGGTATTTCCGCGTACCTTATCATGGTTAGGATATGCGCGAGTCAATTTTTAACGCAACACCCGCTAATAACGTTACCGCCTGACGTAATTTGCGGATCAATTACACCAAGCGCTCTTTCTAAATAACCTCTGATAACGTTTAAAAATTGCTTAAATGGGCATGTGCGGGTATTTGACAACCGGAGCCGGCCGGCGAGATCTTTTATTTTAGGTTATGTTTGAATTGTTCTGAATTATTGCTTTATAATTTTATTATTAGGTAATTTGATATTTAAGTAGCTGGGATTAGTTTTAATTAAATAAATATGGCCCAAAATATGGATTCCACCTCTTCCAATACTAAAGAACCTATAAAGAGTCTTAGGTTTACAGCAGATGACGACTTAGCCCTTCTAAGAGAATTTGTTGCTTGTTGCCCTAAACCCACTGGCAGACGTTGAACAATAAAGCACTGGAAATAAGCACTTTAGCCCTTTAGTTTTGAAATACCTAGTAAACAAAACAATTTCAAAGTTTTAAATTCAAAGTTAGGTTAAGTTTAAATAGCGGACGCGCCGCGATCAGAATTCTTTCCGATCCGATAACTATAAAGCTGTACGCACACTGGCGCGATCACGATCAGGGATTTAAGTGTACAAACACTTTATTGCTGCCCTGATCGTGATCGTGATCGCGGCCGTGATCGCACCAGTGTGCGTGTAGCTTAAATGAAGAGAGTTAATACCACCTCACGTAAAGGAAATAAGACCTGGCCTTATTAACGTCCATGCACGCTATTCGGTTTAGCGATATCTCTCTATTACGCTGTTTATTGTTATTTTACGCGAGTTTATTTTTGCGCACAGGAAATTTGACTCGTTTGCACATCGTCATAAAAAACAATTTTCGTACCACGAATTAGGGACAAGATTTTTATCTGTATACTTATAGGATACCTAATCTGTGCTAGTATATTATTTTTTTTTTCATCTAGAACTGAGTATTACGTTATTTAGAGTCCATAAAGTCCATAAAGTTAATTTGACTGTGTTACATTACCTGTTGCTTCCAGCAGTGTTGAGATAAACAGAATAATAGTGAGGATGAGTGGGAGAAACCATAGGTAAAGAAACTGTAGATCTTAAAGAAAGCCTGCTGTTCGTCGAATTATTATCAATATAATCTTCATGAAAACCACTGCTCCTATAATAAACAGCAAAACTTTAGAATACACCTACTAATCTATTTAAAAAAAACTTACTCATCTGAATCCAAAAACTTTCTGTATGCGGCATTACCTCTCAGTTCCTCTTGACTAGATTCCTTGCTCATAAAAGCTTCATCAGAACTGACTTTAAGCACTTGAATGGGAACATGAATTGGAAATGGTTTGTACTAGTAAAAATAAATAAAAATGAATTTTAAATGTGCTGAAAAACTAGTTTTAAAATGGTCATATTTAAACAAATACTCGATATACATCACAACCACATAATACCCTAACTAAAAGAGAAGCGACAGTAATATACAAGTGCGAATTGGGCTTACCTACCGAGGGTTCCGTAAAATAAAGACTATATCGAGTGCGTCTCAAAAGTGGCTCACCCCTATAACTTTTTTATTTTTTCAGATAAAAAGACGAGATTTGGTATGTTAGTATACAACATAAATTAGGATTGATTGACATACTCAATTGTTTTCGATCACTACCGGTTTCACCGGAAATGACTACAACTTTTGATTTTTAAATGGCATCCTCGGTAATTTTTTACTTTATTCGATAGAAAATGACACTCTGAATAGAATGACATACGTATCATATGTCAACTTTTGACATTTTCGCATATGTTTTATTTGAAATTATAACATGCGGTTCATAACGATAATTTGACTAGAAATACGAAGTGTGTGGTATCAAATTATTCATAAGAAAATGTTTTTTCCAAATATGCTAATGAGCCACCGTCGTTCCATTTGAAAAAAATGAGATATGATTAAAAATACGGTTTGGTCATCTTTTAACCGGCTAAGACAAGACACTAAAAATATTAGACGTTCAAATATATTTTTCCAAGGCTCCGTGATTAAAAATTTGTGTTTGAACACATTCTAGATTTAAATTTAAAATACAATTATTTGTTTTTGAGCGAATATATCAAAAGTTGACATATGATATGTCATTCGATTCAGAGTGTTATTTTCTATCGAATAAAGTAAAAAAATACCGAGGGTGCCATTTAAAAATTAAAAGTTGTCATTTCCGGTGAAACAGGAAGTGGCCGAAAACAATAATTATTGAATACGTCAATCAATCCTAATTTATATCATATACTAACATACAAAATCTCGTTTTTTTTATATAAAAAATAAAGTTATAGGGGTGAGCCGCTTTTGAGACGCACCCGGTATTTTTATAATTTAATTAAAAATGTATAGTCTTCAGAAGATGGTATTACTTGCCAAATCATTTTCATATATCAATCATAATTTCAAATCATTTTTCATAGTCTAGGCCAAAGAACAATACCCTATAAATTTTGATTCCCTTGAGAGTGTTGAAATATACGTTTTTTTGCGGCATAAACGGCCGAACCTTTTTTACGTTAACTTAGAAGTTTGATTTTTTCGCAGTTTCAAGCGACTGTAGACCTGAGTATATGGTTTTAATTTCGATACCTTCACGCGTTCCCGAGGTAAACGGTATTGACAGAGAGACAGACGGAGGGATAGACAACAAAGTGTTTTCTAAAATAATACAAAAAAAATATTACCTGTGGCTTTATTAGTTTGTGCTGCCCCATGATTTTTCGTTCGGCCATCATTTGCCTCACCCTAAAACCCCTACAGTGAGCTTGAAACAACACCAGTCCCATTTTCAGTTTCTGCATCCAAGACCGGCACTTGTATCCCCTCCAACACTTCTGGATTTTCAGGGCGGCCATCTTGTACCTCAGGGCTTTTTGTACTAGATACATGCGACAGTACGATTGCAACACGACCACTGCAGTCTTCATTCTCAAGAACCGTTTTCGTTCCAAGCAGGCTCTGAACCACCTTTGGAGCGTGACAATGCCGGCCATGATTTGTTGATGGAGCTTGCAATCCAGTTTGTGCTTTTCGGATTCGCGCATAAAAACTTTTGTACTTCCTGAAAAACAAACATGATTATTATAAGTGATATTTTACAATAATTCATAAAGTATAAGATATAATTAATTATGTGATATATATTACTTTTAATTTACCTACAATAGTTTAATAAGTATGTAACGTTTTTAGTTCGTTACATGTCTTTTTTATATATAATATATGATGTCTGGCCTATCATCACCGGATTCCCTCTCGTTCAGGCCGGATAGTTTATTTGACGCGTAATTTTTACGTTCCCTAGTCGCCAACCCTGTTATCGTTCGACACAACCCTGTTATCGCTCTGAGGAGGCGCTGTCAACATCGCTTCTGTCAACTCTCTCCATGCTTAACCTCACTTTGTTTTGACGCTCTGTTGTATCCCAGCTTTTAGAAATGGTGATTATTTAAATCTTGCTGTATAATTTGAATCAGCTGCTATTTCGAGGCCACAGGTAAAGATGAGTTATTACCTTTTATAGATTCGATATTATTATTGAATATTTTTAGGGTAGAGTTACGGATGTCCCAACTTGTATTTGTATTTTGCTGGCACGTTGGCGTCCCTTTTCTTTTGTCCTCCAGAATGTCACATGAAAGAAAGGACAGGTTGTTTATTATTTATTGAGCCCTCGGAAGTATTTCGAGGTAGGTTTATTTTGTTTATTAGACCTTGTTTGGTTTTAAACAAGAGTTTCATATTTTTAGGGTCCAAGGTATGGGTAGTGTCTTATGTACGGACATTATCTTCTGTACGGATGTCCTGTGGACGAGTGTCCCCAGTAAGAATGATTTTTTCTTACATATAAGTACCACAGCGTGGATGTAGCTTGAGTCCCATGCTGCTTCGTTCCCAGCTATAAGCTAGTTAGTTACGGCTGTATCAATTCATGGTGTCCTCATTCTGGCCCCTTTGGTTGTGTTGGATGGCTGAGTACAGAGATGCGAGACCACCTCACGCTGTTACTGTTTAAAGCAAGATTACATAAAGAACAGCTAAGTGTAGATTTAAGTTCTAGTTTTACATTTAACATTTAAAACATTTACAGTCTTAAACAATAACGTACATCTTAAATAATATCGTACAGACTATGTTTAGTGGTTAGATTGTTAAGAACATTCATGTCGATTTAATATTTAATATAATAATTAATACTAAATATAATTTAGATCTTAGGTTTCATTGCATTACATCTTGTAATGGTATTACTTTTATAGATATTATTATCGCACTATTTTAACAGATGAATAACCAAACATAGATTCTAGAATCTACAGGTTGCAACATCTTCGATTTAGCATCATATGGAATATATCAAATTAATTAAAGTAATGCTACATTTCATATATTCTCTTAAACTTTACATGTCTTGTATTTTATCGTAGTTGTTTTCATTGATATTTAGTACGACTCTTACCACCACTTTCTTTGACATATAACCACTATATATTTATTAGAACTCTACAATGTCATGTACCATCTAAGAACATCATGAATAAATATAGTCATTAGTTTTAAGTAATAAACAACTGTATTTTCTTTCTCTGTACATGCCTGGCGCCCAATATTTATAATTTCGCGTTATTATTGTTAATTAGTTTCTTTCCAGTGAAATACCTTATCCACGACTGCTCTACCAACGAAAATCTGCCGTTCGCAGTGATAATGTTTTAAAAAAACGCTACAAGTAAGTATTTATTAAATCTCTGAAACTGGTCGTCGAATGGCTGTTCCCTTCAGTCTGATAAACTTAATGCAGAGAATAAGCATATATGTGGGGTTTTTGGCCTTAATTTTTTGCTTCTTGTATTTTGTTTAAGTATTTATTATTTTATCAAGAAAAATAAAAAGTAGTTTTTTGTTTTATATTACAATGACTTGTAGATATATTGGATTTTCTATAAAAGAGCCAATTAAGGCAAATTCATTTTCTTCACTTCCATCGACTGGTTTCTGCCTAATAGGTTTTTTATATACCACACTATCAGCTATGCGAAATAGGAAAAGTAGTTTTTATACCTATTTGGATATCTTTGAGCTTAAACCCTTCAGGCCAACAAGCAATTGTCCTCACAAAACAAAATCACTAGCAACATATACATTCCTTCCGCCAGCAGATACTGCTTAATTTTTCTTGATAAAATACTATATAGTTACTTATTAACCTTATTCTTGGTAAATTAAATAAAAATAACCTGATATAAATTTAAATAAAGTCCATAAACTAATGTAATTTTGAAAATAGCTACTAAGTGTCAGTAAAAAATTGCTATGGCGACACCAGCCATCTTGATTACAATTTTATTAAAAAAAACGCTTTTTATTCAATATCTGAGCCAGATAGGTATAGAAAACCCTAATATAGTTTGAAAGAGCGCTTAAATCTGCTTCGATTTATTTAAAAAAATACATAGTGTTGTATTTGATATAACGAAGTTTTTATGTAAAATAAATATTTAAAATAGACCAGCAATTTTTGATACCCCTGTATACATTTTAGGAAGCAATCAATTTTTTTAATAAAGTTTATTTCTCTGGCTTCAAAGTTAGCACAAGAATTAATCCTAAAAAATAATGTACAGGGTGTTCACAAACTGTTTTACTATAGCATGCATATTTAAAGATTTTAAATATCTCAAAAACCAACTTATTCAAAAAAATTCATAATGTTGCATTTAAAATAACGAAGTTTTTACATATGTAAAATAAATATTTAAAATAGACCAGCAATTTTTGACACCCCTGTATACATTTAAGAAAGCAATCAAATTTTTTAGTAAAGTTTATTTCTCTGGCTTGAAATTCAGCACAAGAATTAATTCTGAAAAGTAACGCACAATTTTTTATTATAGCATGTATATTTAAATACAAATATTTAAATATCTCAAGAACCGAAGTTTTTAAACATATTAAACCTTTATAATAAATGCCTTATTTTATGTCCAAGAACCCAAAAATGAAATAAAATACCTGGTGTTCCATAAGAAAAAATATAACTTTGGTATGGATCTTAGTTCTGACACACCCTGTACATTTCAAAATAATTTTAAATTATGTACATTGCCTTCCCACATATACCCATAAAATATTTTGTTTCTACATCTTTCCGTTTTCGTATAATCAACCGAGGTGCGCCACCCTGTATAAGGACCCTTATGTTGATTTACTAATGATAAAAAATATACCTAATTGATAGTTGTCACGATTGAGATTTAAAGTTGCCAAGAAGTCCCGTACGTCATTTTGTGAACTAAGCAAAGCTTTGGGAAGAAGAATCCTGTATAACTGGATGAACTCGTCATAAGTCAAACGCACGTTGAAACCTGCTTGTCGTATTCTCACAGTTTCCAACATCCCGGTATACCTAAAATAAAAATAAAAACAATATTAATATAAACAAACACTCTAAACGCAATATCGAAAAAAATAAAACAAACCGACAGGATTTGTGAAATTATAAATGAGGACAATAACATTTTACACCTAATAATGGGTTAACTTAAAAGTAATAAACAGAGATATTAACAATAGGAATATAATTAACCTTAATTGACTAATTTTCTGGGTTACTACAAAAAACTCCGATAGATAAGAAATGTCTGCCAATGCTTATAATCTTAATGAATATTTGGTTTTCGTCAGTGAGGTAAAGTGTTTAATTTATTAACAGTGTTTTAATTGAAGATTCTGATGCAATGGATTATTTTCAAAATTTCCACATTATCATAAAATAAAATGTAAGTAAATAAGGTACAGGGTGTCCCATTTTCGTGTTTTACAGGGTTTCCCGTTTATGAGTAGAGATAGAAACATGCGGGTTTCACATCACCACTTTACTTTTTTATAAAATTAATTGAAGATGCTATAAACAGATTTGTCCTAGCCCTCTTAGTTCCTGAAATACAGGGCGAATTTGAAAATTTTGCATTTTTTGACCCCCGTTTGAATCTCGATATCTTATAACTTATCAGAAAGGTGAAGATTGAGTTCCATAGAGTTTTTAGACCTTAGACATTTAATAAGTTCATCATTATAAAGAAAAATTACCTCAATTGTCTTTGAACCGTATCGGCATCAAAAGTATTCGGAATCTTGTTCTTATTCGACTTAATACACCTGATAAAAAAGGGATTGGCCTGATTGAGCGTGTCCATCAACGAATGAAGGCTTTGCTGGAACTGAGCGGCCACAGTCATCGGCTGCTTTCTCGCTTTTCCTATTTGTCCTTGATTGGTAGCCGTAATTCCGGTCCTTCCAGCCAGAGTCTTGACAGATTGTAAATTTTTCAAACCTTTTTTACCCCTTTCCCTAGGTCTGAATGATTTGTTCTTCCTGCGAAAGAAAACAAAGTGTAAAAAAGGAATGCTACGGTGTAAATATGAGGGAAACAAACTAATGCCATGCACATATACGATAAAAAACATGCTGATCCAATCTGGAAGACGCAAAATGTAAGCTCCCGTCACCTTGGTTATAAACACACCCGAATTTTTACCGTCACCGATTTTGCGTTGCCTGTTCAGTAAACTGATTTGTCAAAAAATCGAAAATTGGATAAGGAATTCTCTCATAACTCTGCTAGCTCATATTCAACAAAAAATATTTGTAATAAGAGAACATAAGATAAGACTCTCACGACTCGTCTACTTGGCAAATACGCCAATATTTGCGTATTTGCCAAGTACCGCTACTTTGTAAACAACATTGGCAAGTGGGGCGCTCACACGACGTGTTCATTTCAGCAAGTACGCCAGCACAAACATTGTTTAAATCCTTAGCAAGTAAACAGTATAGTCGCATCCATGGCTACCGGTCGTCCCGAAATTGTCGTTGCTAGTGATTCTTTTTTCTTTTTAAGTTTTTTTACTGTACACTGCAGTAGGATTTCTATGTTCTTTATGTTTAGCCATCCATATGAAGGGCTCATTTTCGTATAAATCCATAAATTCCAAAACAGTATCATTTGAAGACTACACGGGAGAAACCAGCTTTGTCCATTTTTAGAAAAATAAAACTTAGTGCTTTTAAATATATATATGTTATTTTCGGTTGAATAATTAGAAAAAGTATTACTACCAATTATGAATAATTAATATTGTTAATTATCGCTAAATTCTGAAATACCGAAATAAAAATGTCAAAATGCAAAACAAAACAGGGGAAAAACCAGGGATGTCCAATTAAAGTTGTATAAAATCTAAATCTAAACTATTATTTATTTTGTTGTAGGAAGAAAATTAATATTTAAGTAGGTTTTTATTAATATACATAAATTTACTACATGAAATACTAACTGCAAGATGCATGCTTGTCGCCCATGCTTAAGGACATCTCTGGTTTTTGCCATTTACGCGCGGACTACTCCCTTTCGATACGAGGTTTAAGGTTGTAACCATTAAGATACGCCTAATGAGCGAATTCGTGACAAGGCTGATTTGATTTCCCCTTACTTCTCAAGTACTGTACGGTGGAGACACCAATCGTTCTGCGGCCAACGCATAAAATACTTATTTTCTCTAATTCGTGTGGAACTGAAAGCGTCAGTGTTACTGACTATAATACATTTGAAGAAAATATTTTTGGATGAAAAATCCGCGTTTATGTAATGAAAAGTTACTCGTGTCAAACAGAATAAACAACAAAAATAAAAATTCTTATGGGTAGGAATTCATTATAAGTACTGAATATGTCGTATGATCGAAAAAGTCGTTTAGTTGGTTTGGAAACGATGATTATTGACATTTACCATAATATTTTACATATGAAATAACAGCGATCTCATTTCCAAGCCAACTCTGACGCCGTTCTTTGTTTAATCATAAAATATATTAAATTGTTTCATGATAAGAAAAATCCGTATTAATAATTCCATGCTGAAATTTGTGTGTTAGTAGGATTTCGTACTAAATTAAGGCCAGTTTCATTAAATAAGTTTTATTGATGGAAAAACTGTAAGGAGTTTGATATATTTGAAAAACGAATCAATTTTAAAACTGAATAAAAGGCTACCTCAATTACAATTTACCCTGTACAATACGATATAGTGCTAAAATAATCATTGTATAGTGATACAAGTATGATACGAGGTTTTTCCCTTGTACGGCAAAATAATCAAGCTGTGTAATATCTCTGGGACTAACCGTATTATTGCTTTTTTTTCTCGAATGACCTTAATATTTGTCTATAAAGTTGTATCGCTATCTTAATTTCTATGAAAATGAGACATATCTGTTTTTTCCCGTGTAGTATTTATTTGTCCACTCCATTTATTGCTGTGGGAACGATTTAATTGCAATGTTGAAGTTATTAATGTAAATTTGATATTATATATTCTATTATTGTTTTAACGTTTTAAATTATCCGCAATTAACTCGAAAAATACTAGGATCCGGAATATATAACAGTACAATTATTTGCGCAGTCGTTTTTTTGCGCCTCGGCAAGTATAGCCAAGGCTGGCCGACTCTACACTTGGCAAGTGTACGAATAATTGTGATCCTTCGACTGGGGCTATGTTTACCGACAGAGAGTGAGATGAGAACGCGACGAGTGACAAATAATTGCACAAGGAAACCGTTCTCACGACATTGCGAGTGTATTACAATAACAAATAATTGTCAAGTACACGAGTCGTGAGAATGCGTTTTAAAATCAGAAATTTTAAGATTATTCCTAAAACTTTAAGAAAACATAGAAACCTTAACATTATTTTAGTTTTTTCATTAAAACAATTTAATTATAAAGATATCTAGCCTTTATCCAAATTTTCGATTTTTTTTACGCAACAGGCAACGTTCACCGACATACATCACGATCTGATTGGCCCTGTGTATGGCCCTGGCTTCGTCCGGACACAGTACCCTGTCCAAGACAGCGCTGCTCTGATTGGAGGCCGAGTCCCGCCTCTTACGCTCTTCGTCGCTGGACTTCTGCGCGGAATTCGTTGTAGAGGATCGGTTGCGCTGGTAGAATTGAGGCCAGGATAGTCGGTTTGAGGAGGCAGTTGTTTCCTCGGTGGATCGGTTTAAGACGTGTACCGTGGTACGCTGTTTGCTGTATGAGTTAGAAAATGTATATTAAAAGTTCTTTTGAAAGAACCAAATTTATCTAATAATCTGTATTTAATTTAATAATGTTCGTAAAAAAATAGCAACAAAAAAAAATAAAATAATATCAAGTTTATACAATGCTGTAATCCTTTTGAACCATTTTACAAGCTTATTTTCTGTTGTGTACAATGTGTAAAAATTCACTTTTCAACATAGTTCCGTAGCGTAATAAGATCAAACTTGATGTATAATAACCAATAAAAATTATCTGGTCTGGGTGTCCCATTTTCGTGTATTTTATGGGGTTTCTCGTTTGTAAGCAGAGATATAAAGATGCGCTTTTCACATCACTGGGCTACTTTTTATAAAACAAAAGATGCTACACACATATTTTTTGTCCTAGCCTTCTAAGTTCCTGAAATACAGGGCGAATTCTAAAATGTTGAATTTTTTCAACATATCTTCGTTATCTGAGATATAGCTTTGCGGTCAAAAACCTGAGCCCCTTAGAATCTTTCACGTAGAATCCAGTGGCGCAACTAGTTTTCCGCTGGGAGCTGTCATTTCCGAAATATGTTGAAACTTATGTTTTTTTAATGGTACACCTGTATATTTTTATTGCCTTGTTATGAGCTTCCTAAAAATATAATAAACTATATACTTGTTTTCTTAAACACGGTAAAAATGCATTATTTTACTTTTTAACATAAACCAACCTAGTTTAAAAGAGTATTATTATTTTATTTTATTTAATTTAACCACATAATTTTGCTTACCATCGTGTTATTTCAGCTTTTAGATATCACTCTATAGTCTATAAAATGAATAACTTTGAATTTTGACCGTTATTTTTTACCAACATGGCAAATATAAAATCTAACTCTTAACTTAAATATAATATTACGTGAAATAGAAAAGGAAAATAATATCTTGCAAAAATCAACACGAAATGACATAATTGTCAAAAGTAAAATATCATCAGCTTTTGACATTTCTAAATATCAGACCAATGCCGTCTCTAATAGAACAGCCTGGGAGCGAGATTTATGACGTACCGCTAGTTAGATACTACGGATTAATAAATATGTTGTAGAATACATGGAAAACATAATTATTCCTCGTATTTTTGGTTTGTATTTTAAAAACGATACAGTTTACATGAAATATACATAATATACAGTTAATAAATACAATATAAATACCTATTTATAGTAATAAATACTTTGGCAAATAAACTATGAACCATACAAATGCAGCAAATGTTTTACAATATACAAATAATGAATAGGTACATAAAATAATGGGTAAAATGTAAAATATATTTTAAATTTGGGGGTTTGAAAATTGATCTAATTTAACAAAAAACATTCAATATCTACTAATAGTGATGTATTATTATCTACATTCACAAAATTTATATGCATATTTTGCAAGTATCGATGTCCGAAAAATTATATTTGCAAATAATACAATATCATAAAAAAAAGGCATCAGCGATGGCTATGAAATAAAGATCGCTGTCATTTTATATGTAAAATTATTCTAAAATTTTTGATTTTCTTGGGATTTAGGTTCGGGAAAAACGCTGATTAAGTTTTCATTTGGTTTTTCATTTTTTTTCATTTGATTTCGGCTAACATTATATCCTTCATCAGTGTTGTGTCATATGAAAAAAATAGTGTCGAATATAATCCAAAAAATTACATATAAAATATACTAAATATATATGTTACTGTAAATGTCCGAAATGCGGTAAAATCTAGGATTTACCAAAAGCAAGTGGTAGTAAAAACCAACCAACCCCACCAAATAACCACCTAACCAATGCATTAACACCCCCCAGATAACCAGGCTAACCAATGCATTAAGACCCTCCAAATAACCAGGCTAACCAATGCATTAACACCCTCCAAATAACCAGGCTAACCTAATTAGTTAATGCTTTTGGTAAATCCTAGGTTTAGCGCGCTTAACCTAGTTTTTTTGCCGCATTTCGGACATTTACAGTAACATATATATTTATTAATTAATACATATTTATTAATCCGTAGTATCTAACTAGCGTGACGTCATAAATCTGGCTCCGTGGCTGTTCTATTAGAGACAGCATTGCGTCAACATGGCCGCAAGTTGCTAACCTAATAAAATTAACACTAGAAAAGCCCGCGGGAACTGTCAAATTCAAAGTTATTCGTTTCACAGACTATACCAATCAGAGTTAATGATATTTTTGATGCACTTGTGCAATCTTTCACACTCAGAAACTAGCGTGGACTAGCCAATAACAAAAATTTGACGTCGAATAAATTATGTTAAAAAGTTGAATAATGCATTTTTTTACCTTGTGAAAATAAGCATAGAGTATATATTTAGGAAGATCATATAACAAGGCAAATAAAATAAAAAAAATCAATAACATACATAAAAAAAACGTAAGTTTGAGTTGTATTTCAAAAATGACAGCTCACAATGAAAAACTAGTAACGCCACTGAATTCTCTATGAGAATTAGATTTCACCCTTTCGAGGTATAAGAGAAAAGAGATAAGAGACAGGACTCGAAAAATGCAACAATTTAAAATTCGACCTGTATTTCAGGAACTAAGAGGACTAGGACAAATCTGTGAGTAGCATCTTTAGATTCATAATGTGAAAACCGCATCTTTGTACCTCTACTCATAAACGAGAAACCCTGTAAAACACACGAATTTGAAACACCCTGTACATACATACGTCTACCACATCGACCTATTATTTATCACATATTCACATAACATGAAGAAGAAAGCTAGCACATGCTTTAATGTCACATCTAGCACATCTTAGAAAACACTCATGCACATGATGATAACAATGAGTAAATGTAATAAAAATTACAAAAAAATCACATCTGTAAATTTTCTGTTGGTGAAAATCAATAATGTTTAAAATGAGCTAAAAATGACAAACACAGGAACTTTAATATTAACATATATTAATACAGTTTCATCCTAAGAGTATGACAAATTCTAATATATTAAAATTAATATATTTAATATTTCCTGCAAAAAGTTGTCATACTCATAGAACTTACTGCATAGTAAACGATCAGCGACACCAAACGAATCACTAGTGTCTGGAAAATGCTCAACATACAAGAAGACATGTGAAATTATAAGGAAAAATGGATATAAACGTCAACAATAAAATGTAAAACCTGTGATCTGAACTTACGCAATTCGGTTTATTGTGAGATTGACAGCGGAAACCGTCACCAGATGGCTACAGAATTATAAATTCAACTGTAGAAACATACGTCTTCACTTAAAGCTATTTAAAAATATACCATATGAGGATAAGAGACGACACACTGGTCTTTAACACGATAATCGATGATAAAATCTGTCAGATCAACAACTGGTATCTCGTTAACAATTAACAGAACAATTTATTTTTACAAAAATTATTTTTAATCAATATACAGTATTGACTAAATCAACACAATACACCAAAACACTTTTACTTTTACACTGGACGCGCGTTTCGCTAACCATGTTAGCATCATCAGCAGATGATTATAATATAGATAGTTTATATTAGCGAAACGCGCGCCCAGTGTAAAAGTAGAAGTGTTTTGGTGTATTGTGGTGATTTAGTGTTTTATTTTGCTGTGTAACACCAAAGGTTCCAACCCTCAACTGTAATACATATATGCTTATGAATAAAGTTAATTAATGCTTAACAAATTTCTGTCAATTCTTAATAAATTACTTATAGAGCTGGGTTCAACAGAAATTATCATTAATTTTCGTTTCAAAGGGCACTGTAACACCGTTTTTTTTTTCGATTATATAGTATATACTCAGTGATTCATTAAAAATATTTCTAATTTTTATTGTAAATTGACTTTATTAATTTTGAAAGCTTGTACAAAATATAGCAACATGAATCAATAGCTGCACAAAAAACACATCACAGTGAAATCATACTGAAGCAAACACGAAATGATGTTAGTCCCGTTCTAATTTAATTTTAATTTACCTAATTCGAAACTTTTTTCAATCTATAAAACTAATAATGCGCCAAAAAAAACATATACAGTGTCACAGAAAATTCCCAACAAATGGAAAAACAAAATTTGTCCCAATTTATTGTAAACTTTTAGACACACTGTATAATATAAACTTTCTTATATGAAAATATATAATTCTTTTAAAATGAGGTTATGAGGTATAAAACAAAAATGCTCACCTAATAATATTATCATTTGGTATATGACCGCCCCTATACCGCTGTTGTATATTATTCCTATTTCCATCCACTCTTCCCTGTCTGTGACGTTTTCCTGCATCCCTGAACGCAAACTGCGCCCTGAAGAAGGCGCGCACAATGGCCCATCGAAACACCGCCACCGGATCAACGCCCACCAGTTCTCTGACGAATGCCATTGAGCTGTTCTTCAAAACTCCAACTATGTCTTGTCTCATTAGATCTAAGTTTTTCTCCCGCATATCTGTCACCTAAAGATACATATAAACACATATAACCAGATTAAAGGAAGAAAACAAGAGTTCGGCAGACGACATCCAAAAAATTGCAGACAAACCAATATATATATATATATATATATATATATATATATATATATATATATATATATATATATATATATATATATATATATATATATATATATATATATATATATATAGATCAAGATAACGTCAAGCATGCGTACCGAGTAGGTTATGTGCTAGCGGCAGTCGTATTAATTTACAATTATAGTACCTGTAATTATTATTAAAAATAGAAAAAGTGTCATATTCGTGATCAAGAGTAGTGCAATGATGACCAGAGGTGGAGGCAAAAGTGAGGACTCCTCTAAAAAGCAGGTGGGAGAGTTTCAAATATTGAACCAGCGCATGGAAGAAATGGCTGCCAAGTTTAAGACTGACCTTAATGACTTCCGGAACGTTTTACAAGAAAAATCCATGGCAAGGACAAGTGCCAGCGAAGACAATGTCTTAAATGGCGATTTACTGAAGTTATCCGAAAAATTCTCATTATTCGAAAAAACTGTAATGACGTCATTGGACTCTTTAAGGCAGGATATGAATCAAATAAAGATAGAGGTCGCTACAAACAACAATAATATTCTGGTGCACGGTGTGAACGAGGACTCACCTGACATCTATCAGGCCATATGCGATCTAATGCATTCCAAAATCAATATAAATGTGCAAAAAAACGATATAAATTATTGTTATCGTTTGGGTACCACTAATACGAGAGACAAAAAACCAAGACCTATTTTAGTTTCATTTTGTTGTCGATGGCTTCGAGATCAAATATTTTATAGCAAAAAACTGCTCAAAGGTTCAAATGTCTTGTTTACTGAATTGCTTACGGCCGAGAATTTAAAACTATTTAAAGTTGCCCGTGGGCACTTTCGAAATCACTGCTGGACAAGATCGGGGAAGGTGATTGTTCTGTGTGAAGGTGTGCAGGTGGTTGTCTTTTCTCAGGAAAAACTCAGTGAGCTGATTGGAAAAGCCTAGTTCAGTGTGATACCTCGTTGACTAATTTCTCAAGGTACTGTCTTTGATTTTCTTTCAATTAACTAATTTATATATCAATTCACTATACCAAATTCAATATCTAAAAAAATGTGTGGATATTATAGATATTTGAATATCTAAAAAAAAACATTTATATTTAATTTTTTCTTTAAGGAGTTGTTCTTCTAGTTATCATAATAAGCGTATTGTATAATTCGTTGTTTTGAATGCTTCTATTTTTTAAAGAAACTGCATAATATTACTTTGTTTTTCATATTTTAATGTATTGGCTTTCTAGCAATTGTTATACGTATTAGATATGGTTGGGAATTATTGCTTATACTTTTGTTTTCTATTGAAAATACCTATTTTTTGAGGGAAAGTGTATATTAATTTCGTTTTGATATAAGCATTTCAAGTCTGCCTATTCTAGTATGCGGGTGAATATATCTATGAATTATTGAACTTTAATTTTTTATTCTCTATTGATGCTTCAATTACTAAGCTAATGAACACGAAATTTTGTATGTAAGTTTTATTTGATTATAGTAGGCGGCGAGATATAGCTGTGACTTATTGTATTTTTTCTATAAAATCTTCTTTCATCTTATATAAGTTGGGTAATGAATAATATAAATTGTACTTTACGGCTAAACATTCCTGATACTGCTTTTGATGGGCATGTATGTTTGCTATAATCTGAGAGGGTGTGATCGATGGGAGCTAGGCACTGGCGTGGGTACTGGGTTGCGACATCTCAATGATATTAGGTGATAATATTGCGCAGGTAGGCCATAATTCCAAAATTGTCAAAACTAAGAGCCTTGTCACTGCTCATCTAAATGTTCGATCACTCAATACAGGGTTTGACGAGTTCGCTAATTATATTTATGATTGCAACTTTGACATACTAGGACTGTCAGAAACCTGGTTAACATCTGACTGGGATTCAAGTTCTTTTAATCTTGAGGGATATAATCTAATACGCAAGGATCGTGGGGCCAGGGGTGGCGGCGTGGGAGCCTATGTAAGGAAACATATTAGTAGTCAAATTGTGGATCTTGGAATAACCTCTGAGAGTTGTGAATATGTTGGCGTACGTATCAACCTAAATAAGAAAACTTTGCTATTTGTGAGTTTATATCGACCTCCTTCGTCGAATTTAGAGCATTTTTTTGACACTCTAGAAAACATGTTATCTGCTACTGTTCCGTATTATAACCACATTATTCTAACTGGAGATTTTAATATCGATTTATTAAAAAACTCAAGAACTAAATTAAAAATGATTGAACTGCTTAATACCTTTAATCTAACTCAGCATATTACGGAACCTACGCGGATAGATATGAACACGAACGCATCTACACTAATTGACTGTATAATTACCGACAATAATCTTTACTGCCAAAGTAGTCACTCTTTTAATATTTCTGAGACTATATCAGATCACTGTTTAATATTTGGAAATTTTAATATACCCATTACCGAATATAAAGAAAAATATATGCAATACAGGAACTATGACAATATTGATTATGAAAAGTTTCAACAAGACGGTCAAGAATTACCATGGGGTACCATCTATTATACAAATAATATTAACACAAAATTAGAATTATTTAATAATAATATTTCAAATCTTATTAATAAACACGCACCCTTAAAACAAAAAAAAACTAAAATTAAGCCTTTTACACCTTGGATTACAGGCACTATTAAGTGTTTGATTAAATTGAGGGATAATGCTCATAAGAAATATTTAAAAAATAAGACGGATGCTCGGCTTAAATATTATCGTGATCTAAGAAATTACACTAAACATGCTATTAACCGTGAAAAAATTTCTTATTTTAAGTCTCTATCTAGTGAAAAGGGTAGTGACTTCTGGAAAGCAGCAAAAAAATTAAATCTCACTCATAGAATAACCTCTGAAGTTCCACCTGAAATTGCGGATCCTATAAAATTTAATAATTTTTTTGCTAGTTGCAATAGAATAATCGACACAACCTCGATAGAAAAAATTTTTTTTTACAATAATAATAGGCACAAAAATATTACTTCAGAACTGAACTTTAAATTAATTAATGAGACATCATTACATAAAATTATACAGTCAATTAAAACAAATGCGGTTGGTGAAGACAATTTGTCAATAAGAGATCTACAACTATGCATGCCGTTTTGTGGGAAACCACTAATGAATATAATAAATACCTGTATTCTTGAGAATGTTTTTCCGGATTTGTGGAAAAAATCTGTCATAATACCTATTCCAAAAAAAACGAATCCTACAAATCAGGAAGACTTTAGACCTATTAGTATTTTGCCGGTTGTTTCAAAAATAGTAGAGAGACATATCTGTAATCAAGTTATTACTTACACCGATTTAATGAAAATTATTCCTGATTGTCAATCAGGTTTTCGTAAAAATTTCAGTACAACTACATGTCTTGTTAAGCTTATTAATGATATAAGACTTTCCCAGGAAATGAAAGAAACAACGTGTTTAAGTCTGCTTGATTTTAGCAAAGCATTTGACACGTTAAATCATAACTTATTACTAGCAAAGTTGCATTATTTTGGACTATCTGAACAATCCGTTAACTTTTTACGTGCTTACCTTACTCAAAGATCGCATTGTGTTGGCATAAAAAAAGACTTTAGTCTGCTAAAATCTCCTTATACTCCTATGACCGCTGGTGTTCCTCAGGGATCAATATTGGGCCCGCTATTATTCTCTTTATATGTAGCAGACATGAATGACGAATTATCGCATTCTAAGTTACAACAATACGCTGATGATTCACAATTGTATCTATCTTTCACCAACGAGAATTATATCATATCCAATTTACAATATAATATTGATATAAATAGGATTGATAAATTTGCTACAGATCATAATCTGAAATTAAATACTTCGAAATCTTGTGTACTTTTTTTTGAATCCAGCAAGGCTCGAGTGACGGGTATTACAAAAAATTTCAAAGTTGAGATCAATAATGTTTTGCTACCTGTAGTTGCTGAGGCCAAAAATCTGGGAATACATGTCGATTCAAAACTTACTTTCAATTCACACATTAAAAATAAACTTACTAATGCATATTGTCGCTTAAAAAAACTAAATATTTATAAAAAATTTCTACCACCTTTTGTTAAATATTACTTATGCAATACACTTATTTTATCATTGTTTGATTATGGTGATATAGTCTATGATGCCTCGTTATCTGCAGGGCTAGCGAAATCTATACAAAAAATTCAAAATTCATGTATGCGATTCTCGTTTAATATACCCTATAGACATCACATTACACCATACCTAAATAGTAATTCTATATTATCAATGTGCAATAGACGTAAATGTCATATGTTATCATTTATTTATAAAGTTTTAAAAACCGGAAAACCACCCTATTTAAATTCACTTTTCAATTCTCATGAACATTCTTATTTTACCAGAAATGTAAATAATTTCAAAGTCCCCCAGCACAGAACTGCGGCATTTCAGAGATCTTTCAGCTTTGTAGCGATTCAATTGTGGCATCAGATTCCTAAATGCGTTCAAGAGCTTTCATATGAAAAATTTGTAAATAGTGTCAAGTCTATATATTTAGAACAACAAAAACAAAACCGTTAGAAATTTAAACGAGTGACTAACCTGCCTGCCTGCTTTCGTCGCCTTTTAGTTTTTAATTTTAATAATAACCTGATGATTTCAACTTAATTTAACTTTTCCCTGGTGCCCTAGCCTTCCTCCTGGTCATTCCCGTTGATTGCATTCTCTTTTTTTGTATTTGAGTATATTTTATGTATTTTATTTTGAATTCTTTGTATTAATCTTTGTATCATTTATGCATGTATATTTGTTTTAAATATTTACAGGGCTGTGCGACACAAAAACATTTACTGTTTTTGTTTTTGTGTATCGGTTTTTTTTATAATCGCGACACAGTCCCATTTACTTAATTTTTTCTCTTTGTTTATTGTGTATATTAATGTTTAAAAAAAAGTAAATAAACTATTTTGATTTGATTTATATATATATATATATATATATATATATATATATATATATATATATATATATATATATATATATATATATATATATATATATATATATATATATATATATATATATATATATATATATATATATATATATATATATATATATATATATATATGAACTAAAAGACAAACAATTGTCCAGTACTGGCAAAGATATTGAGACAGTTATCTAACAGTCATTTTAACTCAAAAATAGATTATGGATGTCATCTGTCGAAATCTGTATTCTCTTCCCGGAGAAACTATACCAAGATCCCATAAACCACAATAAATAAAATTTCTTATTTTGATAGTTCTAGTTTGCCTGTCCAGCAAGAGTATATGAAAATGACAATTGTCTGGAAAAATGACATTGTCATTCCAAAAATTCAAAAAAAAGTGTTCATTTTCAGACTACTGCTTTTATTGCAATGGCCAATGGTTCAAAGTTCAAAGTAACTTTATACTTTCTAAATAATCTGAAACACTATTTTAATTGAGTAAAATAGGTTGAATTTTAAAAAAATTAAGCATTTACAGAACAGTAGAGGAAAAACATTATATTAGGAACTCTTTTTGGATTTACTTTGTTTTATGCAAAAAATATAAGAAAAAATTGATATTTGGACACTGTTTGGCACCCCCTGTATCTTATACTCCTAATTGATACTAATTTAAACTGTCTTCAGACATTCTTTATTTTTCCAGAAAGAATATTAATAAAAATGAACTGATTTTATTAGTAAAGATACAGTAAATTTAATGGATAACAGCACATAAAAATAAAAAATAAAATTATTTCAAAGGGCTGAAATAGGCCAAAAAAATATTTTTTAACCCTTACCTGATATTTTACTTTTCCGGCATAATGTTCAACAATAAATGCTGCTTCTTTCTTCTGCGGTTTCTTGTAGAATTTATTGTCTTTATGTACAGAGTTAAATTTCTGAAGAAGAGTCTCGTTGGTCGCTCCAGGGAAACTAAAAAAAGAGGTACATTTGAACTACTTCCCAAATAACTGACTTATTTATTTTGTAATAAAACTTTTAGTAATATTTATGAAGTTTTTAAAGATAAAAAATCACTGAATAAAACAAGTGGTACAATTGAACTACTTTAAAAATGACATTTTTCCGAAAAAAGACTAGTCCGAAAAAGCAAAATAAGCGTTCGGTATTTAACGTTTTATGTAAAACTGGCTAGGTATTTTTACACAAATGAAGAAGGAAATTAAAGATAAAGGATTATACCGTATGATCGAAAAAAAATGGCGTCCAGTTGGCTGGGAAATGACGATCGATGACATTTCCCATATAAATTTACATATAAAATGACAGCGATCTTCATTTCATAGCCATCGTTGACGCCGTTTTTTCTCGATCATGCGGTACTATATCCGTATTGTAGCACATTTTTAGATAACTTCAAGATCAAACATCAACAGAATATTCCTTATGTTTGGACTAAATTTTCTCGAAAATAAAGACAATTTAAAATTCCGTTACAATACGGAAATAGACTGAAGTTTTGTGATTACAGTGATATATAATTTATATGGTTTTATAACAAATTGCTCGCTATTTTATGGCAAGTGCTGAACCTCTGCAAACTTTAATCAGGCCTTAATCAAAGCACGTGTGTTTGGAATTTTGGGTGTGGCTTAACACGACAGGATCGGGCCAAGCCTTAGGCAGACTTTTGAAATATAATATATATTTCCTTCGGCCACATACCCGCTTTACCCGACCCCCGAGAGCAACCCGAACAGAACAGCGTAATACTCTTAACAGGCATAGTAAATTTTCAGTCGAAATATTATTTCTGCTTGATTATTATTTCTTACAGGTACAGAAAAATAATTTTTAGAATGGCATAAAGCTAAGAATTTCAAACTTACTTGCACTGATCGTCGAGCAGACACAACAACCCATTCGGTTTCGCCTCGATCAACTGTAAACACCCTGTATTATCCATAAAATCGATATTCGTCCACCGGATGCCTTCCTTCCTGTATTCCTCTTGTTCATATTTAAAAACGTGCTGATTGAAATAATACTGCAAGTGTTCGTTGGCGTAGTTGATGCACAACTGTTCGAAACTATTGTTCAGGTCGAAATCCTCGAATCCAAAAATATCCAGGACGCCTATGGAGTTGCCTTGGTGTTCCCTCAAGGTGTCCTTTTTGGATAGGAGGGCGTGGTTGACCTGGAGAACGATCCAGTCGAAGAGAGCTCCGTAAAGACACTTGGCCATAGCGTCTCGACTTGCTATCGCATCTGGTAATCTAAAAGGAATAAAACAGATGCAAAATTTATCAGTAGCTAGTGAAGTTGAAACGAAATAATGTAAAGTTTACTACAAAAGTGTACGTAAAGTATGCGTATACCGGATGTTTTTCAAAATTGGCTGACTCCTATAACTTTTTAATTTTTGCAGACAAAAAATCGACAGTTTGTATGTGTATATGACATAAATCAGGGGATTGATTGGCGTATTCGATTATTTTCGGTCACATCCTAGAGGTGTGTAGTTCGTGAACGAACTAGTTCCAATGAACTATTCCAACCCCGGAATGAAAGGAACTAGTTCCTGGTTTCTCAAAGAACTAGTTCCTCAGGACCTATTCCGGGATCGAGACTGACCGATATAGAATAATATGGGACGGATCGGCTAGCGCGCGTAGCCCGATGGTAGACAGGAGTGGGGAGTGCCAGCCGTACGTTACCGGATCCGGACCTAGAGGAACTAAACTAAATAAGACTAGTTTACGTACGAACGGATCGGGCCAGCGCGATCGATGCTAGGCAGGAGTGGGGAGTGCCAGCCGTATGCCGTATGTTATCGGATCCGGACCTAAAGGAACTAGAGGAACTAAATAAAACACTAGTTTACGTATGGATCAGCCAGCGCGATTGATGTTAGGCAGGCGTGGGGAGTGCCAGCCGTATGTTATCGGATTCGGACATAGAGGAACTATTAAAAGACTAGTTCACGGGAATCTATTCAGTCGGCAGATCCGAGATATAATACAAGGCGACGACGATGGATTCGGCCTTGTCTATTGCCACAGCCGAGCGGGCGCGGCGTAATTACCACAGAAAATTGTCGTGGATACTGTTTTTGATTTTTAGCTTGTTTTTTAAATATTTTATGGGAATGTTTCACTTTAGGTCCCTAAAATTAAGAAATATCTTATAAAACGAAGTAGATATTCTGAATTTTTAGACAAAAACATAAAGCTTGACGTGAGGAAAAATGCAATTTTTCGTAAAATTTTTGTAATGTTTGCTCCAATTGATTTGTGATATAGTTTTTTAAATTCTGATTTGAGTATTTTTTATTTTTTTTTTTATCTGCAATAAAACTTATCTATATGTTTTTAACATACACAATTACACGGCTCGTTATATCTCCGTACATTATAAAAATTATACAGATCATAGGTACTGTGGATAGTTCTGACTGACAACGAAACGCATTAGCAGGCAAGGGGGATGTCAATGTTAGTCGGGAACTATTGTGAACTAAAGACGTAGTTCAAGGAACTATTCCTCTGGAGGAACTAAAACTAAGGAACTAGTTCCTCCCGAGGAACTAGAATTCCCACCTCTATCACATCCTCTTTCACTGGATCATTACAACTGTTGATTTATAAATTATACCCTCAGTATTTTTTTAGTTATTTGATAGAAAATGACATTCTAAATAGAATGACATATCATATATGTGACGTTTTCGCTTAAAAAAGGCTGTGTTTATAACGATAATTTGACTCGAAATTCAAAGTATGGTGGTATCAAATTATTCGTAAACGATTGTTTTTTCCAAATATAATGAGCCACACCCGTTCCATTGGAAAAAATTGAGTGATTACTAAAAATGCGATTGAAGAAAAACATTAGACTATCAAATGTATTTTTCTAAGGATCCTTGATTAAAAATTCGTAGTTTTAACACAGCCACTGAACTCTAGATTTAAGTTTAAAATACTATTTTTTAAGCGAAAATGTCGAAAGTTGATAATGATATGGCATTCTATTTAGAATGTAAAAGTAAAAAATTGTTGTAAAACAGAATAATCCCGTCAGTTCTTCAGACGATCTTTCTTTTAGACTCAATTTTTTTTTGAGGTTTTAAAAACTTTTTGGTCAATATGCATTTTTTTATCTACATGGAACAATAATTATCAAAAAATAGTATTATTGGTAGAATCGAAACTGAATATAAGATTTATAAAAAAAACGTAACAGGTGGCCGTTTCAGCTATAATTTACATAGTAAAATAAGTATATTGTAATTTTTTGTTCATCTTATATAAAAAATAACTTGATAAAAATCCACAAGGTAGAAAGAAAAAAACATTTTTTTCGCCTTACTTATTTACCTTACTAAAATATACAGGGTGTATTTCAGTAAAATTAATCCTAAAAGATTGAAATTTTAATTAAAATGGCCATGAAATTTACCAAAATACATAAAATACTTATAGTAAACGCCACGAATGTTTGGGAGTGATTCATCGGTCGCTACCATGTGAACTAATCTGTTCAAGATCACATAAAACTTAATTCCAGTGCCATGGTGTTTTTTTAGTCATATAACAATCAATATATAATCTGTTGTAATTTGTTGTTTTAACTGTCAAAGTCTTGTCAAAAAATATATTTGGTTATAAATATAAAATGGAATGCCCCATTGATCGCACTGCCAGCACACCAATGGACTGACGCACAAAAACGAATCAATCAAAGAAACGCGATATAGTATCGTCTTTGTCAATCACGCTAACATTTTAGAATAAGTAGGAGGAGCGCAAGCAGATGATTAGACCGGGCCTTTAAAAACCAACGTCTGCGGTAAAAATTTACGTTTTTAATGTAAAAATGATAGCGCGCGTGTCGATTCTAAATTCAAGTGATGAATCACTCCCAAACATTCGTGGCGTTTACTATACTAGTACCTTGTAACAAGTGTCCCAAAAAAATAGATATAAAAAATACTTAAAATATGTACCAACCTGTAGTTTATTACAAGCGTTTCGCCAGACGCCCTGGCTCTTTTCGTCGTCAAAGCCTGCATGAGCGTTTCCTGTTTCACTCTCAGCAGTTCAGAAATGAGACCGACAATCTCTGGATTCTTTACTCCAACGGCCTCATCGTGATGATACGCTGACTTTCTAGGCTGAAACTCCACATTTCCCAGCAGCAAAACAGCAGATAACACTGAAAATAACCGTCGCTGCTTTTCTGGAGTAAATCCTACCATTTCCATAGATTGTTTTAACCTAAAAGTACATTTTTTGACATTAAAAAGAAGATAAAAAAATTAAACGAAGGCTTTACCTAGAAAATTCGTAACTTTCATCCACATTATCTAATGGTGAACAGGATTTATTCAAGTAATAATATTTATCGGGCTTTTGCAAGTGTAGTAACTGTTTTTCTTGCTCGTTGGCGCCCTCTAGCAAGTAGTAGAATACGTGGTAATTCCTCTCATATCGTCCCTGACAGCATATCCTAGACTTTTCCAGGAGGTACTTTTGAACTACCGCGCCGTGTACCATGCCGTTTTCTTTGTAGTTCACTTGGATAAATTTACCGAAACGACTGTAAATAAATGGCAATAATTAGGTAAAAAAAAATAGGAAAAATATTAGGACAACGGTGTGTACCGGGTGTCCCACTAAGAATAGCTCTCGGCTGTATCTCGGAAAGTATTAGTTGTAGAGCTTGCGGAAAGAAATATTTATAACTAAAGAGAGTATAAGAAATTGATGAAAATTATTTTCAAGTTTGTATAGCATCCGCTAGAGGGCGCAACTGCTATGAAAAATAAGAAAATAGAATTTTTACAGAATTTTGCCCAGATAATGGATACTATAAATAATAGCTTTATAATCTTCAGTAAATTTTGGATTTTTTTTGTTAGAACCATTTTCCCCTATCTGCTAAAATAAAGTGGTGGGAGAAGGTTAGGTCTATCTTTATTTAAATATTAATAACTCCGGACTGGATGATCAGTAATCATAATAATAAGGTTTTGAACGTAGACGCTAGGGGGCGCTTTCTTACAATTTAACAAACATAGCGCGTTTTTTCAAAAAAGTTAAATACGATAGTATATGTAATTTTAGCTGCTAGTAAAGCTTAAAATGTCAGCAAAAACCGCATCTGGATATCTTCTTTCAAACCGAAGATATTAGCAAAATTATAATAAATACCAAAAAATATGCCCTTAATTACCTTATTTTTCCAACACAGTATCAGTAGCCCTCTTGATTATGCCCATTCTAACAAAAAAATAAGATAGAAACAGTTAGTTCATTTTAAAATCGACGAAATTCCAGAATATCATAATACCAATTAAGATATTAATAATAGTGAACAAGAAACGATGATTCAGTGAAGTCATGGTGGGCTTTGGAAAAAAGTTGCTTTTGACGTAATAGTATAAACGTCAAATTGTTATTAGATCAACATTTTGATAGTCTTCGCAGCGTTTTTTATCTTTTAATTGTTTTTTCAAAATGTCTTTATTATTTGAAGTAGTTGAAGTTGTTGACATTTTAAAAAAGCAATCAAAAGATAAAAAACTATCAAAATGTTGATCTAATAACGATTTGACGTTTATACTATTACGTCAAAAGCAACTTTTTTCCAAAGCCTACCATGGCTTCACTGAATCATCGTTTCTTGTTTACTGTTATTAATATTTTAGTATTAGATATCAATACATCTGGTATTATGGTATCAGTGGCAGATCTAAGCGTGGGCAAGGTGGGCACCTGTCCACGACGCTAGGCGCGAGGAGCGCCGCAGAGGCACCAAAATGTGTCCGAAATCAATAGGTAAAAACTCTAATCACGCACCGCATGCACACATGAGGTATGTTAGTAGTTTCTGCAAACATCATACCTACAAGTAAAATTTCGGCAGAGGGACGGCAAAATATAAGTATGTCCGAAACTAGTAGTAAAAACTCTAATCACCATGCAAACATCATACAATAAAATAGTAAAATTTAGATAGAAGACGCTACCTAGAGCGTGCGATATATTTTTTCATATTTTATTTTTTTTTGGGTGGGTGGTCTACTCATTTTTTGAATTGTGGGGCCCAAATTTTGTCTTTGCCCACGACGTATTTTACCCTAGATCCGCCACTGATGGTATTCTGGTATTTCGTCGATTCCAAAATAAACTAATTGTTTATATCTTATTTTTTTGATAGAATGGACATAATCAAGAGGGCTACTGATACCGTGTTGTAAAAATAAGGTAATTAAGGTTTTATTTTTTGGTTATTTATTATAATTTTGCTAATATTTTCGGTTTGAAAGAAGATATCAAGATGCTGTTTTCGCTGAATTTTTAAGCTTTTACTACTCTTTATTATCAGCTAAAATTACAGATACTGTCGTATTTAATTTGTTTGAAAAAACGCGCTATGTCTGTTAAATTGTAAGAAAGCGCCCCCTAGCGTCTAAGTTCAAAACCTTATTATTATTATTTTTATGGTGTAATATAGAGTAAGAAACGCTCTTTTAAACGAGCCCTAGTTTGTTGGATTCTGATTATCCAGTCCGGAGTTATTAATATTTAAATAAAGATAGATCTAACCTTCCCCCACCCCTTTATTTTAGCAGATAGGGGAAATGGTTCTAACAAAAAAGATCCAAAATTTACTGAAGATTATGAAGCTATTATTTGTAGTACATCGTATCTAGGCAAAATTTCCTAAAAACTCCATTTTGCTATTTTCCATAGCAGTTACGCCCTCTAGCGACCTGTCGGGTCGCAGTCTTTTTAGACTCGGTTGACGCAGCTTATGTTGCGCCAGGACCTGGATGTATTTATAAAAGATAGAATTGTTAGGGTATACTTACTGGGATTAAATAAACAGCTAGATACAAAAAATAAATCGTTCCTTCATTTTAAACGTCAGGCGCGGCCTCAGATGCCTACCCTGACAAGCCGCCACTGTTCCCAAAAATGTATTGTTTTTCGTCGATAATTTGAGTGTTTTTTTTATTAAAAAAATTAACATTAATTTTTATCAATAAAAAATTAACAATTTAATATTAAAAAACCACGGCGTCATGTGCTGTACGCAGTTGTAGTAGCAGGAAAGGTACCGACTCAAACAAACTCACTGGAATAACATTTGACAGGTAGGATAAACTATGCACAGGCCTGTAACATAGCTACTACAAAATTATCAATAGAAAATTAAAAAATTAGTGGATTAATATTACATTAGCGCACGGCAAATTTTAATCATGTTTGCTTTCATTATTTGAAATTTACGTAACCCGGTCCTGATGAAGTAGTTCACTTTGCTCCGCCCCCAGGCCCCGTTTTATTTACGGAAATATGAAATATGTATTATAGCGCCTCCCCTATCTTTTTTCTCCATGGTTCTATCTAATAAAACCTTACCTAGAATTATTATTGTGCGCCGTCTTGGCATTCCCGAACGCCTCCAGAACAGGACCGGCACTCAATATAGTCTGTTCCACGCCGCTCCCATGAGAACCTTTCTGACTGAGCGCCGTCAAATGGTGCAACAAGAAATTCGTGCTCTCCGTCTTGCCCGAGCCGCTCTCACCACTGATCACTATACACTGGTTCTTTCTGTCTTTGAGCATGCAATGGTAGGCGGTATCCGCCACGGCGAAGATATGGGGTGGCAAGTTGGGTCCCAGCCGTCGATTCTGGTACAGTTTGACGTACTTGGGATTGTAGATGGGGTAGAACTTGAAGGGGTTCAGCGCTATGAGGATGGAGCCGACGTAGGTGTAGATGTGACCGGCTACAAATCGAGCCCTCAAGTTGTCGAGGAGAGTCTGCTCGTTGAGGTCGGGTAGTTGGCAAAGGTCGGGGTATTCCCGATCTTTCGGCTGATAGAGAAATCTGTAAACCAACAACGTTTATCATGAATATTTTCTAAAATGGTATAGTAGTGGAGTGCTTTAAGCCCTTATGAGATACAAACTTCGGAATTCATTTACTGTGAACGAATGTTTATAAAACTTTTTGCATTGTATTGTTAATAGGATATATTACAAAGTTTACCTATTTAAATTCGTAAAGTGCCGTAACTTTGTTTATAAAACAAGATTATCGTTATATTAACACACAATTTTTTTTATCAGTATACAGGGTGATTCAAATATTTTCGAATTTTTAAAAGAGATGATATGGTATATTTTTTAGCTCAATGGATTTACCATTAAATTCCGACTCCAAAAATACTATAATGTCACGTTCTACCAAGTGGTTTTTAAAATACGATCATTTTTAAAATAAATTTTCCGCTATACCAGGTGCGTTTCAAAAATGGCTCACCCCCATATAACTTTTTATTTTTTCAGATAAAAAAACGATATTTTGTATATTAGTAAAAGACATAAATTAGGATTGATTCAATTATTTTTGGTCACTTCCTGTTTCACCGGAATAATAATAAATAATAAAAAGTAGGTAGGCAGTTCTTTTAGTTTCGAAGTAAAGGAATTTTTTCAATTTTTTTTTATCTCAAAACCTGCGACTTTGACTGATTTTGATGTTATTACAAAAACTGTAATTTTGGAGTTACGATTTTTTTAAATTTTTAACCCCCTCCCATACGCCCTTACCAATCCCCCCCCCCCCAACCTTTTTATACAGGTTGTTAATTTGTTTATTACTCGCGGCAAGAGCTTTATCAAATATGGCAACCTCGGCCCGCTCGTCGAGAGACGACGCGACGGGACGAAATGTAGGCAGTGTTGTCATTCTGTTCCCCAATAAGTAACCGTCCAGTTAACACTCTGTATAATCAAATCTAGTTTTTATATAAAAAAATAAAAAAGTTATAGGGGTGAGCCACTTGTGAGACACACCCGGTAGAGCTCTCTCAAAATTCTAAAATCAAAGTGTCTTCTCCAAAATTCTGCCTACTAAAGCCTATTTTATTTTTTATTTGTTTGTTATATCAAGTGCAAGTCACTAAATATTGTATTTTTCTCCACTATGTCAAATAAAAAACCCTATATTATGTATCATAAACGAACATAGTTTTGTTTAATCTGGCTGTTTTATTAGTAATCTAAATTTCCTCGTTATCAGTGGCTCTATTGAAAGATTATTTTTTTTAATTAATAATTACTGGAGCTTGAAAAATCTCTTGTTATTGGATCTCGTGGAAAGAGTAATAATAATATACACTCAACAAAACATATTATTTCCTGTGTAATGAGGTGTAAATCAATTAATTATAAATAAATAGAAAGTTCAAATAAATCAAGAATTAATTCTGAAAAATAGAATTTGTATATAAAAGATAATAGAAAAAAGGACTTGTAATTAATGCAACAATAACATAAAAAATTAATATTACGAAATACTTTTAGAAAAAAAAAACATTATAATAGCTCAGCTATTAGGATATCTAGGGATTACAATATTATCCACATTTTTTATTATGCTGGATTATGTATTTACATTGTAAATCTATCATACAAAAAAAATAATACTTCAAAATATAGTAATTTTCCCCTGAGTATCCTTATAAAACATACTCATCTTAAATTCTACCTATTTTTAAATACAAGAAATTAGAATGGTAATATTTTATTTGAATTTAAAAGTGCATATTTTGGATTTGCATATTTGTTTCTCTCAAATATATTTGGTTTCTCTGTATTCCCTCGCTAGATAGACTTTCTCTTACAGTGTCATATTCTATACAGAGTGTAGGCTACAGTTTTTTTGTAGGCTGATTGTTCTATTTATGAAAATATTTTTATTCAAATAAATAAAGCAGTAATCCAGTACTTATGTCAAAAATGACAAGCTTTAGAAAAAAAACGGAGGACACTATCTCATTAAGGATGTGATTATCTACAACTTTTATCTGAAAACTTTTTGTCTAAAATAGCTTATAATAGAATTAGGGACAATTTTTAAAATAGCCGAAATTTGTTTTTTTCGAAATATCTAGTAAGCCATGAACTTTTTCAAAAATCTGAAAGGCTCATATTTGAGAGGTCGAAAGTAAGAGTGGGATAAAATTTTGTTCAAAGCAAAAGTGGGTTTAAATTTTCTCTAAGATCAAAAATAGCATATACATCACAACTTTGGGCAAAAGTGAATCGAATATTAATCAGCGCAAAAATGGTTCGACAAAATATTCAGGGCAAAAAAGCTATAAAATATTAACCCGTTTTTGCGCTAAGAAAATAATACGTAGATTCGATAGACGATAAGAAAATGGTTCTTTTACCTCTGCGCGCTGCCGTATTTATGTACTATCGAAGGGACGTTTTTATAATACTATTGAGTATTGAGTGCTGTTTCACATGGAGCGGACGTGCGGACCATCGTGGACCATTGTGTGTATTTTAAGAATTGACGGAGTACTTTCACCTGTAGATCGCCCATTGGTTGAACAAGTACCATGAGTATTGAATGTATGAATACTTTCACATAGGCGCGGATGATCCGTCGAAGAAGGGATCGACGGATGGCTGTTGGAAAAATCATACGGGCGGACCATCCGCGCCCATGTCAAAATACTCATACAAGCTCATAGTACCTCTTCAATAAACGGACGGTCCGCGCGGACGCCGGACGGCCCGCTCCATGTGAAACGGCACAACAGGGACGATCAGCGCGGACGGTTTGAGCGAATGCTCCGCTCCGTGTAAAACTGCACTTCATACTAAATTTTATTTCGTGTTTTTGCACCTATTTTAGTGTGTTGTTTATCTTTCTTGTCTATGGTGTTGTTCAGTATGGCAAAGCATCTCTAGCAGAGCTGCAAGCTCACAGAAAACTTTTTAGTGACTGAAGCAATCATTTTAGTGACTTAAGTCATTTGATTTTAAGTCGATAAATCAAATGACTTAAGTCATTTCATTTATTTCGAAAGATGACTTAAAATACTTAAATCTTTTTTTAACGACTTAAGTTATTTTAAAAAAGATTTAAATCTTTTAAAAGATACAATATGACCGAAAAAAGAACGGCGTCAGCGATGACTATGAAATGAAGTTCGCTGTCATTTTATATGTAAAATTATATGGGGAATGTCATTGATGTTTATTTCCAAGCCAACTGGATGCCGTTTTTTTTATCATACGGTATATACCTATTGATATAGTAATTATTTATATTTTTTTTGCTTCACACTGCTGTACTGCTGTTTATATAATTTTTTGTGTTTCACACATTTTTATACCTATAAGATAATGAGTTTGATATTACAAAACACAGTATTTTAGTTATAGGAAAATATAAAAGCCTAACGGCTCGGAAATTTTCAAAAGTGAAGAATATAATTATACAAAAATTATTTCCATTGTCTAGATGTGCACTTCCGAATATAACTTGTTTAGTTTATATCTGGTCGGCACTTTTGACTTCGGCACGCGCTTTGATATCACACACGGACCGCCGCCGCCGATGCCATTTGAAGAAAAATATATTTCATAGAAAAATTAAATTACTCCCTCTTTTTATGCGATTTTTCGAAAAGAAAATGCGGACTGGGACCACATACGTATTTGCATTGATTGTGTCCGCACGTGTAATACGGAAGAATATAATATTTTTATACTTTTTATGGGGCGGAGTCACAACGCCCCCCCCACCCTTACCCCCCCAGCTATAACGTTGTAAAAATCAATTCATAGAACTGATTTTATGCCCTTAGCAATTTAAATACACTAAAAAGAAAAAAAAAATTCTTTAAAATTTTTATTATGAACTTTTATAACGTCATTACATAATTTTATATTATATAAAAGCTTGTAGCGAGATTTGAGTGTACAGTTGTACGACAACTTTATCTTGTAATTCCTTTTCTAGTGGTGTATCATAAGACAAACTTTCAAAATGAGACAGGGTAGACACAGGTTTTAGATTGTCATGTATATTGTATATACTTAAAGTAAAGTTGTCGTACCAGGTTTTTTATGAGTGCAACTGTACACTCAAATCTCGCGACAAGATTTAATATAATATTAAAATTATGTAATGACGTTATAAAGTTCATAATAAAATTTTTAAAGAAAAAAGTTTTTTTTTTGTATTTAAATAAAAGCTTGTTTTTAAAAAAAGTTCTTTTTCTTAAAATTTATTTTTACTTTTTAGTTATGCTGGTTTTTCTTAAATAACTTTCTATGGGCATCCTAATAATATGTATATCGATTTTCATTAACAAAGGAGAACTTAAAAAAAAACGACAGCTGTCAAATTTGACAGTTCAAATGTGAGACAAATAAAACGAAAACCGACTATGGGGTAGGGGGCATCCAATATATTGATTTTTATCAAAATCGGACAACTTTGAAATTTTTTTGGACAGCTGTCAATTCTGACAGCTGAATTTTTTCTTCTTTCTTCATTTTAGCCCATGGCCATCCTATATATATATATATATATATATATATATATATATATATATATATATATATATATATATATATATATATATATATATATATATATTCGATTATATATATAAATATATATATTATTATGTCGATTTTTATCAACATCGGTTCACTTCGAAATTTTGACATGTCATTAAACTGTCATTTTTTCAAGATAGCCGCCCACATATTTTTTTTCATATGTATATACCCACAATATACCTATATTATAATAAATTTTTTTATAATAGAATTTTAAAAAATCAAAAACCTCAAAAAATGGCGCCATTTTGGCCGCCATTTTAACAGCTGTCAAAAATTCTGGTCATGCCTTGTAAAAAATGTATAATTTCCTACAATCAAAGGAAGTGGTTCTAATTTAGCTTACAAGATTTGCCCCGAACAAACATACATACAAAGCAAGTTAAATAAAAGCTTATAAAAGTTGATTTTTACACTACTTGTTGCATATGGTGCAAATGTTATTTTGTATAGAAAACTAGAGGAACATGAATAAACTGACTGGCAAATACGCAAACAGATTTTTTTATCTAATATTAATTTAACGATTTTTCTTCGGACAAAAAAGGAATATTTTTAATCTTAGAGTAAAAGTGGCATATAATTATAACCCATTTTTACGGTAAAGTTTCTTTCTCTCATTTTTGCTCTCATTGCTACTTAAACCGCTTTTGCCCTCTGAAAAACGCAAACCGTTTTTGCCGAGAGTAAAATTTTAACCCACTTTTGCTATCAGCCTCTCATTTATGACCCCACAAAACTGCAATTCTTTCCCCATTTAACCGAGTCTGTATCTCCAGTAGTTTCCGAGATACCTATAGAGAGAACATCGTAGGAAACTCACCCTGTATAAACAAATTCTCACCTGTGAAAATAGTCTTTAATCAACTGTGGATCCATGACAAACTGATCTCTCCAAGCATGATCGATAATTTTCTCCCTAAGGTAGAATCTGTATGACGTTTTGTCGGGCGTATTTTTCGGCCACAGCATCATCAACTGAACTGGACTCTCCTGATTCGAGAGGCTGCGTTCTTTGCATTCCTGGCCAAAATCATCTCCAATAACCTATTCAAAACAACAAAAATATTATAATAATCCTCATCTAACCATCTTATTTGATAAGATATTAAACCAGTTTTTCAATCTCATTTTTTATAATTTGGTTCATTTCCAAAATTAGTTCTAGCTCAACTTCCGTTTAGCTGAAATCAGTTATATAAGAAATATTTGTTTTTAGTATTATTGGGAAGCCTTTCCAAATAAAAAGTCACGGAATTTTTTCTGCGGAAATACATAATTTTCAGTTTTGCAAGTTTAGAATAGCTGAAACCAGTTACATGAAAACATGTTTCTGTTTTTCATTCTAGACATTTTTCTGAGCATAATTAAGATACCATTTTCATTTATTAATAAAATATAGCAAGTTTAAAACTACACTAGCAATCTAACAATCGAAACACGCTATAAGCTGTTTTGTTGTGATCTTAGGTTGTGATACTGTTTTTTTTTTAATAATTTTAATACAAATTTGATTGCTGTGGGTTCAAAATTTTCATATTTTCACATTTTTACTAATATTTCTTAAAATTAATTTTACTATAATCTTTTCAAAAATGAAAACGATGAATTTCAGCAAAGAATTTCTTGCCATTTATGTTTAGAATTACGTTTAGAACGTAAAACAGAAAGATGTATTTATACCCATCTGGACATCTAAACTGTGTGGTCTGGATTTTAACGTGTAAAACAGTGATGTAGACAGCTTAATGGAAAATCAAATGTATTAAAAAGAGATAAAAGTTGGGTTGATACATTTCTTCTATGCGGTATTGTCGGATTTTGCATCGGAATTTCAAACCGCACAAGTAGGCGTTTATGATAAATGTTGCATGTAGTGTTGGAACTTTATTTTTTACAATTAGTTACTGATTTTACTACAGCTGTAATAGATTACATTTAGCTTAGATATATTATCTTCATTTCAGTTGTATGCATGAAAGTTTTTAAATCAGTTTATCTTTTTCTACACACGTAAAAACCGGCAACACTGCATGCCGCTTTTTATCGTGTCTCTCTGTCCGCCAACCGTTCATTTATATTTATCTCTGTCGCATGCATTAAAATATAGACCACGCAGTTTCAATGACCAGATATTAGAGATTATAGAATGTTTAGGAAGGGAGTTAATCACCGCGACCTTATAGATCTATTGTGTGTTCCCCTTTCTTGAGTTATAACTCATCATACAGTCTCAGGACTTTAACAAAAGCCAGTATCTGAGACGGCTCCACAGAGGCCAGCTCTCCATCCTTCCACATCAGACGTACCAAGGTTCATGGCACGAATGGTCGTCGTCTCGGTGCACTCAGTGATAAGGTATTTCCCCATTTTCCCCACAAAATCTGCATTCGCCGTTGTTTCTCAGTTTCAGCCTACTGAGGTGTTCGTTGAGGAGACAGTGTCCTGTTAGTAGTGATGTTAATATTTCAGAAATTTTTGATTGTTGCAGGAAATTTCCGAAACTTTCGGAAATTTATAAAATTTTAAAATTTTACATATTTTTTGTTGATACAATAAAAGAATAAATTAGATAGACATTTGATACCAACATGTAAGTGAAAAAAAAACAATAAACATAATATTAGTTAAAAAAACAAAAAAGCACGAAATATAAATTTAAAAAAAGGTAAAACACAAATAACTGAATACCGTGCTGGTCCCATCTTCATAGGGTATTATAGTAGTAGTAGTACTGTCTTCGTCAGTTTCTATTTCCAAATCAGATATATTTGATGTATCATCTGCTTCTGATTCTGAAGGATGGACCTCTACCTCTACGGCTTCGAGTGGTTCTGGAGGAGTTTCATGTTGTTGAATATCATGCTCCATATCCACTTTTTGTTTTTGTAGTACTAATTTATTGTTATGAGCTACGAACATTATTTGGCCTCTTTGTGCAGTTAAGCGATTCCTTTTTTTAGTATGGATAAAACTGTAAGTACTGAAACTTCTCTCAGTGGCTGCAGATGACGTTGGTAAAGACAGTAGAGCAACAGCTAAATATTTCAACTGAGTATTTTTACACATTACTTGCAACCAACTTAGACAGTCTACATTTTTAACTGACATCCAAACGTAGTCGAGAGCCCATAAACCCGATGTGACGCAATAATTTGTTACATCTGTAAAAATGGCTTCTTTATTATTGACAAACTGAGGATGTTTGTTGTTGATAAATTCCACAGTATTCTTCATTGTTAAGGTGCTCTCCCAGGAAACAGAGAGGTCCAAGAGATTCGCGACAAAATGCATTGGTTTAAGAGCCATACGTTTTCTATTTTGTAAGGCGGCGAAGCATTCTTTTTCTTCTGATTTAAGAATAGGCACTTTCGTTAAATTTTTGCTCAATGTGTTGAATTTTGAAAAGATATTTCTTGCAAAATTCACATTTTTGCGAATATTCGCGATTTTGGGACAGAATATTTCGGAAATTTCTGAAATTTCCTGCAAAATTCGAATGGAAATATTCGCTACCAACACCACTACCTGTTAGACAGTTCTTCTCTAAAGTTAACACTATTTTATTCATGTAAATGACATATCTCCGCAAGAAGTTTTTTGTGTACTTATGTTTAGAAAAGAGTTTAGAATGTAAACCTGGAACATGTTTCCATGTAACGCTGAGTTCAGTTATTCTAAAGTTGGAAAAAAGAAAATGATGCATTTCTGCAGAGAATGTTTTATAAATTTGTGTTTGAAGAGGCTTCCATTTTTCGTTAACGATGTTTTACTTAATAAGTTTTTATTAAACAGGTTTTTTTTAACATTATGTGTAGACTGTAGACAGAGATAAGTGTAAAATAAAATAATCAAACTTATTTTTGTTAAAATTTTGGTAAATATCAAGTTGCACCTAGAATTATTAAAAAATAAAGTTTTTATACAAAATGTAACTAGATACTGTAACAGATACTTCTCATAAAATAAACAACTACAACTAGACAAAAAATGTATAAAAACAGACTAGATTTATTTTTTAACCAGAACATTTAAAAAAATAATCCAGTTATTATACAATTTGTATTCTATACTGGGTAGGTATTATAAGAAGCTAAATGCCCTTGTCCTAAAAATCCTGTTATTATACAAGTATTTATTTTATGTTAAGTATTATAAGAACAAGCTCTATGCTTGCTCCAAAAGGCTTTATTCTTTAGTAATCCTAATCTTCTCATCTTATTGTTTCTTCGAATGAATGCACTAAGTACTACAATGATCTATTTATATAGACACTTGCGTATTGATTTTTAATACAATAAACTCACCTCCGTAAGCTCGTAGGATGCATTTTCATTTAGTGACAATCTTTCCACAATACAGGCTACTATCTCTTCTGATGTAGTCTGTTTGCTGGCCTCCACGCTAAGAGCCTCATAGAGACTACTTAGGGCTCCCACATAGACCTGAGTTAATTGTGTTTTAGTAATTGTAATTAGACTGTTTTTTACTGAAATGTACCTGTAAAATGTATCTGTTGTTCTCCATTGCGGGCATCATTATTGACAATCCTTATGCTTAAAATGTATGTGGTTTTCTTCGAACAACATTTTCACACCTGAATTGTCGAGACTGGTCCATTTTTATTTATGATTTTCGTTTTTTCGACCTTGTTTATTTTGACAATATTATATAGCATCTGGCGTAGTATATTTCAACAAACTGTAAAATAAATGTTTGGCTAGGAAAATAATAATTACGTCATATCATGATGAATTTTTGCCAAAATACAAGTTATAAAATTAAATGTGGCTTGGATAAATAGGTAGCAGATGATGATAATTCATAAACAGATTTTATAAAACTGAATACTTTAACCTAACATTTAAAGAAGAACTATGGAAGCCTTGAGCAAAATATATAATTATATTAAATAATGTAGTATACAAAAAAGACAATAGAATTTACCAAAGATTTTCCCACTATTTATGATAACACTATTATTGGAAATTAGTTAACTCAAGTGTGTACTGTCATGGTAATTTTAAACTACAAATATTATCCTGCAGCAAAATAAATATATATTCCATCTGTACAAAGAAACTTCAAACTGTAAACTGCAACAACTATTCCATTAATAACAATTTTATTTAATTATATAGTAAGGTATAATTGCTCCTGAACCACAATCAAAGAATAGGTATCATTGCCCTGAAAACTGCAAACCTCTGTTGGGTACATACCAAAAAGAAACTTTGTCAGCAAAACACGAACGTTGCAGTTGCAATCGGAGCCTTTGAATGCACTCTATCGTTTTTTTTTTCTTGTTGCCACCAAATCTGCTATTTTAAGATTCGTAAGACAACAAGCGAAGGGTCGATTCACGGGGGAGAAATGTCAGATTGGGGTCACATGTTGCTTCTTCGGCCCAAAAGCGAGAATAAAAGTACGATTATTTCGCCTGTACGCTTTGCAATTGGGAACGGCGAAAATTTAATTGGAATTAATTAAGAATATAACTTCAGTCTCCGCCAGCAGGATGCGAAACATTGGCAATAAACAAGTGAAATACATCCACATAGCAGTTTCCGAACCCGCCCATACAGCGCGAACTGTTACTTCAACACGGCAAAATCGCGTCCCATATTTGGGTTTCGATCGATCTAGACGCGCAAATAGACGACGGAAGCTTGGAATCGTTCTATTTCAGGTCCACGGGCCACTTTCCGCGAAAGGAACACCACAACTACCATTTTTTATTTATGTAAAATCTCAACCGACATTACAACTAACGACAGACCATAGGATGCGGAATATCAACTTATCAAGGCCACCCAACGTTGCCACATCGAAATCCTCATATCTATTTCTACTGCATTTTTAAATATAAAATAAATTCAGAATTTTTTTTTCATATATGGTTTGCTGATGAAAAAGGGTAGCAAAATAGCTAAATAATTTGAACTATTGCTTAAAGTATAATAATACTCTCAAATAATTCTATAGAGATATAGATTGAGAACTGCACCCTAAATAAGACTGCACCGTTTTATTTTTATTTTATGGTTAATCTACTTATCTTTTTAAAATATATAAATTATTGCTCTACAGTTAATAGTAAAAAGACGTTATCTACATCCATAATAATAATAAATATATAAGAATTTAAATTCATATAATTTTGAAATACTGCTTGATAGGTTTCCCTAAACGCTTAATTAAATTTATATTTTTAATATTTAATAATTTAAGTTAAGTAATATCTTAAAAGGCCTATGCCTCTTTAAAATAATATACATGATAAAAAAGCAAAAGGTAAAGAAATAAGAAAACGTTTTTCTACACATTGTCATATTTTTTAATTTATTATTTATCATAATAAAAATAATGTCCTATTACTTAAAACAAAGTCCCAATATACTGTTCTCAAAAGATAGAATTAATTCTTAATTATTACCTTATTACTTAATTTTCTAATGTTCTTTTTAATCTAAACAAAGTCTAATAATATAATGAAAATTCAGAGGAAAATTAACATCTTAAAGAAAAAAGCAATTCGATTTGGCAACTATGCGACTATGTCACGTGGCCTATTGACATATTTGACGATTGCGTAGTTTGCGCGCTAAATATGAATCTTTCGTGAATCTTTCTTTTCTGCATCAAAAAGTAAAGAAGTGTATGGTAAGTTATTAATTAGCTTTGTTAATTAGGTCATATTTATATTGAAAAAGGGAGGGCAGTTCTTAAAATGTACTGGCAATTCGCTATTTTAAACTAACTTAATATTATCAATCTGAATAAAACTTACTTAATTTGTATTGTCCAAATTAAAGAAAAAACTGATCTTTTTCTACCGTTTTCTAATTCTATTACATCTTGACATGATTATTTATCTTACCATAATGAAATTTAACTTTTCATTCATAATGAGACTTTACACAAATAATATCACTTTGTTGTAATTATTTGATCTAGGAAATTATTAGTCAACTGTGAGTAATTCATAATTTTTTTCTCTAAAGAATGAATCGAAATAATTTTGAATAGTGCAGGTTTACATGTTAGATATTTTATATCTAATCTATTTAATACTGTTTAAATTTCGATAAAATGTGGAATTATTGAAAGATATATTTATTTTCACAATAATTTTTTATTTAAAAAGATAAATTGGTAAATAGCATCAGCGTTTATACATAAATATTTATTTACAGTTTCTCAGATAGTAACAAGTAACGCATACAAAAAAAAATATGTACAAATATACACTTCGTTAAGTTGTTAACAATAAATATAATATACAGAGGAACAAAAATTGAAATTTATACTATTTTTTATTATCTTTTTCTTTTTGTACTTATATAAGCTAAAATATCTCTTCTCATCACATTGGTGTCATCATCCAATAAAATGTCTTTTTTTATCTTATTATCTGTTTTATCATTCGTTTTGTTCAAAGTTTTTGTTGATAATTTCACTGAATTTATTATTGGTAAAGGAATGTTGTTTATAGATGGTTTATCTTCATCGCCTTTTGAATTTTGGCCTAAATTTATAAACAAAGGTGCAGTATTGTTATTAGCATTTGTTGTATTAATTTTCTGTTCCACATTCTTCACAGGTTTTGGAATTTCTTCAATTTTGTGCGGCAGAATATTTTTTGCTTTCGATGAATTTATTGATTCGGAGTTGACTTTTACTTGATTTTTTAAAAGTATGTTTTCAATTTTAAGCGCGTTGACATTTATTTCTTTATTCTCCGGTGGTCTTTCTTCAGAATTTACTTTTTCTTTTACATCCTTTTCTAATTTGGCAACGATTTTTTCATTTTCTTTTACATCGCTACTGATTTTTTCTATAGCTTTTAACGCTATACTCTCTATTTCTTTTACCGCTTTCATTTTTTCTTCATTTACCTTTTGCTGGTTCTGCTCTTGAATTACTTCAATCAATTTCTTCTGTTGCTTCACAATTTCTTCCTGTACTTCGTTCTGTTTTTGAATAGTATCTAATATAATTTTGTGTTCTTCTAAATGAGAATCTTCCTGTTTCTGTTCTTCAACTTGTAATTTCATTTCAGTTTCATCCTTTTTGATTGCTTCAATATCAACTTCATCGTTTTTAGACTGATTCTTTATATTACTTTCAATTTCAACAGGACCAAGCTTAATTATTTCTTCAACTTTCACCACCTCCGGTATTGGTTTAATTTCCTCTTGTTCTGCAACCTTCTCAGGTTCTTGCGGTTCAATTGGTTCAGGAGGTTCATGCCTTATATCCAAACTTCTCTCAGTTATTATTTTAATGGTTTCAATTTTGGATTGATTAATTTTTTCATTGACAGCACCTTCAGCAGACTTCAAGGGTTTATTTATTAAGTCCATATCATCCTTTTTCAAATTGCTTATTGGATTTTCAATAATTTTAAGCACGTCTTTCTTTTCAGTTATGGGATTTACTGTTGTAGAAAACGACTCAATTTTATCTAACCTATTGAAATTCTCAAATGTTCCCAAGATCATGAGTATAAAACCAATAGCAAAAATAAACTTAGCCAACAGCCTTTCATTAGTATTTTTGGTAGAAATGTAAATAAAACACAAAACTGGAAAAAGTACACAAACAGCAATACCAATAGTAGACCCAATAAGTCCAAGTACTAGTTCAATATTTGGTATCATTATACCCACGAGTAATGAGATACAAATTATAGCTATTGTAATGCCCTTAAATCTGCCTTCAGGAATGTAATTACTTGTACTCTCATGCAAGGAATGTACGTCTCTATATATCAACGAATGTACACTAGCTCGACAAGGAAAAACTACCAAAGGAAAGCTAAATGCAACAGATAAAACAAAACCAAGCTTTAGAACGTTTGTCAATGTAGATGGTTCAAAACTCATAAGGATATTTCCAGTAAAACTCTTATGGGCAAAAGCAATGTATCCAAACAAACCTACACAAAAATAAACCGCTGTACAAATATTAATGGCGTTTTTAACAACATGGTTCATTTGATCGAGTGTAGGATTATGAACAGCTTGATAGATTTCAAACAGCTGACTCTGGCATGATAAAGCCATAGAAAAAATTGGTAGGCATTGTATTATTCCGGCAGGTCTCCAAAATTCTACCTTATTTATCCAGTCCCCTGTAAAAATATGTGGCATTGCTTCAATACTAATCTTCAGCACAAAACAAAAATAGAATCCGATTGTAGCTTTTGAGACTCCATGTAAACTATCAACATTTCTTAGAAGCCCTAAAGGTAAAATACAAAGAACTGCTAGTGCTACTAGAATAACTGTTCTCATTGTATTATCCATATCTCGACCAGTTAACTCGGATATAAATTCTGGCCCCAAATCACCCATAACTACAAAGAAGGCTATGCACGTGCCAATAAGGAAACCGATCATTCCAACATCAATGGCAAATTTTCCTAAACTTCCAAATATGTGATATGCTAAATACTCAAAGGTTTTTCTTCTGGACATTATTGCTGACTTGATCAGGAAATGGCAGGTTAATCGTGTTATCAAATTACTCAGTAACAGCATTATTAGAGACAATAATATTCCGGTTTGCTTGAAACAATACGGCATTGCCAAAATGCTTACGCCGATAATACTGTTGGCAAGGGTCACTATATAACCAGTGTGATAATCCATTGTAGTTTTGGTGATTACATTTCTGACTCAAACTGATTTTGTTAAATACACGTCCTTTTTTCAGAAAATAACTTTAAAACTAAATTTTTTTGAGACATAAACAAACGAAAATTATAACCTATAAAAATTGACAGTTGATAGACGAAGGACGAAGACCTCAGATTAATATTAATTAAGTAGTACCTCAGAGTATAAAAAACTAAAGGAAATACAAGTGATCTATGGACTGGAAGAATGGAAGTTATTTCTTCATGAAATATGAAATGTATATTTTATGGTATATTTGTCCTCCATTCACGCAGTTGTGCAGCGCTGAACTGTTCAAGAACGCGATACTCTCACTGTGCTCTCACTCCATTCAATTGAGTTATAAAGTTCAGAACTGTTCCACGCCATGGAGGCACCAGGCTATCGCGCACAGCTCCTTTCAGAACGGTTCTCGAGTAGCCCACGGCGTAAAGCTCTGGAACTTGAAATTCACGAATGGAGGACAGCAAATGTATTGTAGATTTTTTAATACAGATTTTAGCACAATTTTTTTAGGTACATATAGATTTTTGGTTAACAATTTTAAATCACAAATCGATATTTTCTTACTAACTTTGTTTTACAATATTAATTTATCAATTGAAAGTCATTAAGCCAGTTTAGAAGTCATAGTATTGTGATTTTTAATATCTGTCCACCAAGTGGATTAGTGGATGTATCACAGTGACATTTGCCTGTCATTTGAGTCACAGTATGGAGTGTAGAGGTAATTCAGAGATAAATTGTTTCTTTGATGTCATTTTTTTGGATGTTGTCTAAAATATTCCCTGATTCATTAACTATTATCAAAAAGGTCACATTTGAATAAAACAAACATGTTATACACATAAAATTTTATTTCCATTGTCAGGATAAAATTTGAAAATAATCATTCTGTAAAATGATAAGGAGGAAAAAACATTGACACAAAATAACAATCTTGTGCATCTTGGCAAAGCTGATCTCCGTATTCTTATAAGGTCACTTTCTAGTCATGAGTGCCCACCATGGGTATTAGACAGTTATAAAACATTTTACCAATCATATCAAAAATTACTGAACTCTAGTAACTGTCAATATTTTTTTAATACTTATGTCATGTAGAACGGTTATCGACCTGATTTTTCTCACTAGCTGTGAACTATGAAAAAATGGTTGATATGAACTACAAAAGAATTTTGAACTCATGGTATGGAACTCATACGAGAAAATTTCCCTTTAGACACTACACGCAGACGCGCACTTTGACGCGTGTTTTCATCGTTCATAGCCACGCCCCTGTCTACATGGAGTAATTCACTAAAGGTCCGTTCAGTATATCACTTCGTAGACTGTTGCCTTTTTGTCACCAGAACCGGTCACTATGTACTTATCGTCCGTCGATATATCACAACTTAGCACACTTGAGGATTCTTTCGACTGCAACAAAAAAGAAAACAGAGTTAAAAACTGTAAATTTTAAAATAAAAGTTCCTGGCTATAATTCTAGTACTACTAGAGGTTTTACTTAACTGTGCACATACATTATGCATTTGAAAGCAAATTTGTCATTGAAATTTATAACATGTATAGTAGAAACGAAAGATGTGTTTATATGCATCCGTCTTGCGTCGTCCGTCTCCAATCATTATTAAATATGATATGATAAAAATTGGGCGACAAGATTACAAATTTGATACTTGTCAGAAGTAAGAGCCGTGGCAACCCTGGGACGTAAATTCATGAATACTTTGATGACGTGCACATCAACTTTTATTGATTGAGCTATATAAGAGATATTGCTTATCCCTTTTTTTATAATAACACATAATGACAAGTTGTATGATATAAATCTATATTCACAGTTAAATTAAACACACTGTATATATGCAGCTTACCTGGAAAATACTAGCTCCATAAGGCGTTCGCCAAGCATTGAGAAGATTATCCTTGCCTGTCGATACGAACCACTTCCCGCACGTGGCGAACCTCAAACTAAGAACGCAGCTCTCGTGAAGATGCAGCTGATACTTATCTGGTTTGTTAGCATGGAGAACCTAAAAAGAAATAGGACAACATTGTAAGCAAAAATATAAGACAATTTTAAAAATAGTTGTTGCAAAAATTATCCAATTCTTTAGATAGATATAACTTAATGTCGTCCTATTGCTGCCAAAAGTCACTAACTAACATTTTTCTGAACAACCAAATTCAATCACTAACTATGTTTTGAAGCGGAGAATCGATTGCAAAAGTCATTAACTACGATTTCTGGCTATTTATGTTTTATTTTAATATCGAATAGTCACTAACTATAAAATCTTTATGCAATGCAATTCATCTTTGGATGCATTTTTCTCGGAAGTAATAAAAAGTAAGTTAGTGATTTTTGGCAGCAATGGGACGATATATAAATGGAACAATGTAGAAAAGGGACAAAAATGGGTTGATACAGGCTTGGTGCATTTCGGTTGATTTCAACAACTTCCGACGCAGCGCTTCAACGGCAGAAACCAGAAATTATCAGTATGTATTTCACGTCGCCACGGCCGTCCCGGTTACAGTTCACGTTGATCGTATTAAAATAATATTGAAATTGTGGCTTTGTGATATAATTTAAGTATTTTAGTTTTTTGCTAGTGCAGTTATTGAGACTATAAAACACTCAGGTACGAGGTTTGAGTGATGTACCGCTGTTTCGGGTAGTAAAAAATAAGTTAAAAGCAATTTGAACTAGGCGTCGTGTTGTGTTGTGACAATTTCAAATGTTAATAAAATTGCCAAAAAAATGTTAACGAGTAAAAGAGAGCGTAATTAGGGCGTTGATGGGCGCAATAACATTCAATAACTCAACTTTCCTGGCTTCATAGTTACTCACACTTTAAAACTATGCTCGCTACCGTATTGAACTCATCTAAAAAGTTTTTTTTAGCTGGAATAATCAATTATAATACAAGTTAGACCTTCTGAAGATATCAAAATATTTACTTTTTTATTTTTATTTTTGGAATTTTCACAAATTATACTTCCTAACACTTTTAGAATAACTGTATAATAAATTTTTCGTATAGTCGCTATTTAAACCCGTGTATTTGTATATACTAGTTGTTTACGATATTTCCCGATGGTGGCAGCACCGGCGGAGAATGCACCAAACCTATACAGTATTGCTGGATTTTGCATTAGGAATGTTTAGTTTTGCAGCTTGGACTATAAATATAACAGTAACAGATATTTTTGTTCAAACTTACTTCCACATGTGAATTTTCCATTCCAACAGCCAACCATTCCCCAGTTGGACAATAACCTAATGAAAATATCTGAGAACTAAAATCGTGCTGTTGGAGCTGCTTTCCTTCCCGTAAGTCCCAACTCCGCACCGTGTTGTCCAAGCCTCCTGTCCAGAGTTTGGTTCCGTCCGAGCTGATATCTATACAAGACGCCCCATCAGTGTGACCCTGAAAATAAGTAAATTATAAGTTATTACAGTAAATACACGAAACGACATTAGCCCACGGCCATACAGATAGCGTTTTTTAGCGTTTTGCGTTTTTTACGTCTCAAGCGCTTTTTGCGATTTTACCGTTTGAAGCGTTTTTTTCGATTTGTGTACATTAAAAACACGTAAAAGACGCGGCAGATCTGCAGTTTCTATCAAGATGTCAATTAGTAGCTTACTTCGGGTTTCTCTTATTACCGATTCTGAACCGTCCTAGAACTGTGATGCGTATGCGCAGAAGGAAATATGAAGACATTATTTCATTTGCGCATGCGCTGCAGAGTTCTCGGACGGTTCAGAATCGGTAATATCAAGAACCCGAACAAAGCTAGTAACGTCGCAAGCTCGTGGATTCCCGGCCTGTTTAACAATCCATCCTGTGAGAAAGAGATAGGCGAGATCGACGCGGTTAGCGTTGAAGAGACGAAGATAAAAGATGCTAGGATTGAATTGTGGAACGGGCCGGGGCATATATTCGGCGACAAACACAATCTACTGCTAGTACCAGTGGTGTGTGTAAAAATAATAATTATTATTTACCACTTATTTTACGAACTTTAGTTTCGTAATCACGATTTTCGAGTTTTTTTATGATGTAGTGTTATGGTTACTTGTTATAATTATAATATAATATAATAAATAATTATGATTCTATAATAGAATAGTAAATATTACTAGTTGCTAACGCAATTTTAGGATATGATTTATGCAACTTTTTGGAGTGAATCTTCTTTACGCGCGCTGGGAATAAAAATTTAAGGCCGTGACATACGAGCTAACGAGACGGCCCTGACACACGAGCTAGTTCTAACGAAACGTGTTAACGGCTTAGAAATACGTAGTGACGCGACGTGTATTTGTGAGCAGTCCACGTGTTTATCAAAGATATTGATATTGTAATACAAATTTTGTAAAAGTGAATCAAATTATTACGTGTAAAAAACCATTTGATACACGTCAAAAACTTATTGTTTCTGGTAAAAAACAATTCTTACGCAAAAATAAATATTTTTTACGCGTCAAGAACTTATTGTTTCTGGTGAAAAAAATTACCCCAAAAAAAATAAATGTAAAAAACTATTTGTTACACGTAAAAACTATTTTTTACACGTCGAAAACTATTAATGTTAAAAAAAACTTTTTTACGCAGAAAAAAAAACACTCTTTATGCATAAAAAACTATTTTTTAAGCGTAAGAAAATATTCCTTTAATTTATTACTTTTCCAACATTTCAAACTACACTTTATCAAATTTCCTTCAAATTTTTGAATTTAATAGAATCTTCCTAAACAGTTCTCTATATATAATAAAATATTTTTAGATAATACCCTAAAATGAAAAAAAATGCATACTATTTAATTTATTTTTATTGTATGACTAAATATACCATAATGTCCGCCTATGACGGGGTCTTGTCTTAGAAATCGCTAAAGACGCTACAGAAAACAAACTGATTTGTTTTCATTTGCGTTTTTTGCGAGACACGCTTTTGGTGGGCCCACTCCTATATAATCCGGTCATTTTGTTTTAGTCGCTACAGACGCTTCACGCTAAAAACGCAAAAAACGCTTTCTGTGTGGCCGTGGGCTAGTACTAAGTCTGTCCAACGAGTCAGGAAAGATGTCAAATGACATCCAAAAAGTGTCAGAAAATATAATTTAGTTGTGAATAAAATGACAGACAACTGTCAGTGTGACTTTACTATAGTCCGTCTAGAGCGAATATTTGACATTGACCGTTGTCTGTCATTTTAATTCAAAAGTAGATTATCATTTTTGTCATTTTTTGGATGTCGTCTCTCAAGCCGCGAGTGAAATGGAGGAGAGAAGTAAAGGTAGATAAATTTGACACTTCCAAACAACAAACTTTGGTAATATTAACATTACAAATGTAGTTGTGAATGAAATAAATTTAATAGAAGTTGAGTCAACTACTTTATACTTACTTGAAACTGTCTGACCAATGTTTGGTTGTGCAAATCCCAAACGGCAATGTTACCATCCGAACAACAGCTGAAACACACCTTGGAATCTGGGCTTATAGCTAAGGCATAGCAGGCTGGGGCCGATGAAGTCAATTCGGCCTTTATCCTTGGCGTGGGGCTCGCTAAATCCCAGATCGACAAATTAGAGGCTTCACCTCCAACGATAAGCGTTCGACCATCAGGTAGGAGCTTTACAGATCGTATGTAGTTATCTCGTTGCTAAAAAAAGATGTTTATTATTTATTGTAGTTCTTACGACCTAACCTAACTTTACATACAGGACTGGGATTTCTGACCCCTCAGTATGTGTTGAGTACTTCAATTTTTGGGAAGCTCTCATTTATTACTTAAATTTTATTTAATAAAATTAGCCAATATATCTATCTGTATAAATTACACAAGAATCGAAAAATAAAATGGAACAGTAGATTATATATGTCATAAAAATAGAGAAATATCTGCCTTTTATCGAGCCCATTAATATCCAATAGGCAGTTTATTAAACAGTCTAAATCATAAAAATTTATTGGCCATTTCATTTATTTTTACGAAGTTTAAAATTAATTCTGGAAAACACCAGCTGTGTCTTTGTTCATTTATGCGCCTATTCCTGTCAGAATTATATCTACAGTAGATATACAGGCGTCAGAGTAGATATACAGGGATTACAGAGTCTTAAATAAGTGCAAATATGTCTATGACGTAAACACGTCTATAAGGTTTTTTCACGAAAAATAATTTTTGAAAACTTGGAATTTAAAAAAAATGGATTTTCTTTTAATCTTTAGTTAAAAAACATAATATATTCATAATATGGCAACATAGATATATTTCATAATATCAATTAAACTTTTAGTTACGTAATCAAGGGCGCGATTTTTAAATTCATTGTTGCCAACGATGAACATATTCGGGGTCGTGCTGACTATTATCATAGTATAAGGAAACTAGTAGTTTTACTCCTTGTCAAATTCTTTGTTCTTTTTCTGCCACTTTATATGACCTTGTTCTCGCCTCCCGTGACCACTGACGTAGCTGTATAGTCGTGGTCTATTAACTAGGCAAAGTATAGTCGTGGCACTCGCCATAGTTTCACAGATATGTATTTAGGAAAATATGAGTTCACAATAAAATAAAATAAAAAAAATGATCATTGAGTAAAAATTTGCTTTGAAAACAGAATATTTTCACATTTCGCTTAGGTAAAAATTCTTCTGTATCTAAAAATCTTCTGAATGGAAGAAATGCGGAAAAAATATATAATGACATATTTTTATATTATTATCTATTTCAGAGATTTTCTACAACTTTTTTTTGATTTAAAACAAGTTTAATTTTCTGTACATAACTGGATTCGGCATAAAATTCTGCATATAGTACACCGTCTTTATTTAAAGCACACTGCGGTGTGGCCATTCTATTTCTTATTTACTAAAACTTTGGTTAAAAACATTATATACTAAAGGTGGTAAAAAACTAGAGTGAATATAACTTTATTAATACTTAGCTATGTTTTCTTAAACACGAAGGATACCAGAATAAATTCGTGTAGAAAAATTTACTTTATCGTATACAGGATATTTTTCAACGCGTCACCAAAATCGTAATATTTAAAATATTGTATCTCATTTTTTTTAAATGCAACACCTTGTATATTATTTTTCTTTCAGATGTAGAATTAAAAGATAAACATTTTTTGTATTTAAAGTGTTCTTAAATTTTTAGCCGTTTTGCAAATATTTTCTGTATTTCATTACATATGGGATTTCCAACGATAAAATATCAGACAAAGATCATATTAGGGGGCTTTGATAAAAATTTACTGTTTAAAGAGCCATATGTAATATAATACTGCGAATATCTGCGAAACCGTTAAAAATTTAGAAACCCTTTAAATAAAAAAATGTTCACTTTTTAATTCTGCATCGGACAGAAAAATAATATACAGAATGTGGCATTTAAAAAAAATGAGATATACCATTTTAAGTATTCCGATTTTGGTGACGCCATAAAAAATACCCTATACAGGTTGTCCCAGAACTGAGTGCGTAATAAATGAGGCTCCAACACAGCAGCTATGCTACCCGGTGAAATAATCCTCTTTCAACGGCAAAATGAGTGCGAAATAGAATAATGTATATAGAATTATGTAAAATAATTTAAAAAAAATAAAACTAACTTTACCATAACTTTTTTGTGACACCCTGTATATAACAAAATATTTTAGGATACGCCCCTTTATAAACCTTGAAACATATGAATAAAACTTTTTTCACATCTTCGACAACGACGACGATATTGGACTTCCTCGCACTAATGGGCCACCCTGTATATTTAAGGTGGTTTAAAGCTAGGTGTGGCACTTTTCTTCCCTCAAATATAAACTCAATATTTTGTCTATAATATTTTGAATATTGTTATATTACGACCACTTATAATAAAAAATAAATAAAAAAACATAAAAAAATACAGTCCACTAAATTTATAAGAGATTATGCTATTATAAAATCCTATCAATTAAAAAATATGAATAATTTGCGGAGACTTTAGATGTACAAAATATTTACTCTAAAATTGTTTCAAACATAAATCTATATAAATTATCTCGTAAACTATTATTGGAATGAAAATTTTATGGCAAATCCCCTGACCAAAAAATATTTTCATGCGCATATTTGAGACAACCTGTATATCTAAAAAACTATTTTTAAAATCTGCCCACATGCTAAAAAAAATAATAATATTTAATTAATTACATAATATCTCAGCTTCTAAAATAACCAAATATAATTAAATGTTAATTGATAATTACTATCAGCTTGCCGATTTATATCCGATGGAAATCTAAAAAAAATCAAAGAACAATTTTTTGAATTATTACTACAATTAATGCAGCACACAGTAATGCACTCATTTTTTATCAATCCGTCTCTGTGCTGGAACGCAACGCTCGAACCTCGCAGCTCGACGGACGGAATTCAACTGAAACGCTTTGCAACCTGCCGATATTCGACAGCTTGCAAAAACTGGCAGAAAATATTTGCGAGAGTGCAACTACTCTTTTCCTTAAACTATGCTATTATGTCGTTGCCCATTATACATTTCTATAACTAGACTATGAACCTACCAAGCAATCTAGCTGGCTAACAGGACTCTTGCTGCCCGGCTGGCTGATATCCCACACTTTGACGCAACCTTTACCACCGGTGTACACGTACTTCGTAGGGTTGGATATGGTGACTGCGCACACCACTTCACCGTGGTTCAATGTGTTGATTTGTCGCGCGTGCCTGGGAATGCCCGGTCCAATCAGCGCATCCGTGGGGAAGGGAACGGGTTGTAGTTGACCTTCGCCGTTCATATGAAAGGAATATGCTCTAAAAAAGAGTGTAGAAATTGAATAAAAAACATGCAAAATGTGATGCGGTGTTAAAACCAAAATTTACAGAAATGAACAATCAATCGGAGTTTTAAAAATATGTTTTGATGTAGTGTGATTTATTTATACTAAGGGCTGGCAAAGATTAGTCTTGGGTCGAGATTTCCGTATGTTAGAAGAGTACAATGCTTTTATTAATGTACTGAATAAAGAGAGAACAGTAAAAACGTTGCCAAATGTATGAAATAAGCCGAAGAACTGTGCACATTGCTAAAGGACGGTCCACACTTGCTATATAACATTGCTATGTAGCAAAGTTATATAACATGTTACATATTTTTCAGTCATATTTAGCAAATTTCGCTGCTATATAACTTGCTGGATGTTATCCATTTGTAGTCCGTAAAGATCAAAAGATGTTGTGCAACACTGCTATTGTAACATGAAACAATGCGTCCAGACTTGCTAAATTTCTAGTTTAGCCGCTCATATTTTCAGGGACGTGCGCGACAGAATCGTTATTAGTGTGGTGAGCTGATATTGGTTTGTTTATTTACTGGTTAATAATATACCGTATGGTCAATAATAACGTCCGTATGATCGAAAAAAAAACTGTGTCCAGTCGGCCTCTCGTCCAGTTGGCTTGGACATGACGATCGATGACATTCCCCATATAAAATGACAGCAATCTTCATTTCATAGCCATCGCTGACGAAATTTTTTTTTTATCATATGGTTCTTATATTATTAATGGAGTAGAGCCAAGAGCAGGCTTGTCAACTAATTAAGTTGTATATAGATCATACAGTGTTATGGGATATCCGTAGTCCCTCAGTTAAAGTGAAATAAGAAAAGCATGATGCATGGTTAAAAAATTGCAAAAAGTATGTATTTGGAAAGAAAAAAGTTGAGAAAAAAATGCGTTGTCTAATAGGCCAGTTCCAGAGGGAACAAAAGAAATGCAAATCAGGTACTGGTTTAGATAAAGTCGATAATTCAAAATGGTTTGCTTTTAAGTTATTAATTTTTTTAAAGACAGAAACAGCCGCGGCAGGTATTGAAAAGGTAAGCAAATTGAGTTCAACTATATTTAGATCTTGCTTGTAGGCTATGGCGGACTCAAAACCGTCGCGACTTTCTTTCTCTTTCTTCAAAAAAAAATTACGCACGCCGCTGCTGCGAGCTGAATCTCTTTCTTGCCAAAACGATTCATGTTTACAAAAACTATAACGTGGACGGCTCGCGGTATTTTAACATGTGATATGTAGCTTGTTAAATAGCAATGTTATATAACATGTTACTAAATGTGGATCCTCCTTAAGAGACGTGGAAGGGGATATAGCAGATTCGTTGTGGTCGACCGGTCGACCCAATTAGTACTTAAAATTCTCGGGAAGACATCATACGTTCAGCTTCACGGTTTATTACGTCTCGTGGTACTTTATTTATTTATTTATTAACGAGCCGTAATTTTCCCTATAGCTTGTAAATTTTTAAGTGTAAGTTAGAAACGCTTTTGGTAAAAAGAAGTGGAATTGAGTTGGTGTTCGACAGTGGTCGCGCTATTAGAAATCCATCAGAAATAATTGATTGTAGTATTTTCAAAAACTGTCTTAATATTTCTGCTTTATTTTTTTTTATTTTTCTACTTTTCGCAGACAGTATGTGAAAATCTTTATAAATATAAAGGTTACACGATTGCTGAAAATTGCTATGTACTAAAAGTAAATGGATGGGTTTCTTTAAATTTTTGAATGAAAAAAAACAAGCCTATCGAAATTTTCTTATTTAAACATCATGTTCGTGAGTTTACTTTATTTGATAGGGAAAGGCGTACCGGAGAAATCTGGCAACGCCGCAACAACACACCGTCGTATTTCTTTCACTCCGACTTAATAAGATCCCTATGCGATTTACTTCCACACATGTAAATACCGACCCAAAAGTAAGAGTTGCCAGCACGGTATAATTTTCTACCCAATACGAATTTTAAAACAAAATTCTAATGGATAGTTCAGCGGTTTAGATGAGTATTAGTCCTAACCAATGACAAAGCGCATGACCAATGACTAAAGATACATGGACCAAAACACCCGAGACTAAATTTTTACCATTTGTCTCCAAACAGTGCCAGTGTGTTATTTGCCCTTGTATTCTTTATCACTGATCTACATTTACTTACGGTTTTCCCCCTGGTACTCCTCCCAGTCCATTGGCAGTTAAAGCCGATGTCCTTGCATGAGGATGACTGTCATATGCGGCAGGTAACCCTTGAGGAGGAGGTCTAACGTAGGGCGGTGCTTGTGCGTAAGGGGGTATTTGGTGTTCGGGCGTCCTAGGCGCCCCCAACCCGGGGTAAGGGGGATAGGGACCCAGGGGTCCACCGGGTGCCGATTTGGATACTCCCGGTGGTCCTGCACCTGCTCCTAGGTTAGGCGTCGTCGATCGGGGTTTCGAGCCTGGGGTTAGAGGTTTTTCCTGCAATAAGAAAACGTTAAAAAATGAATGAAATGAAAAATAGACAATAGAGACGTTCAAATTTATGCTTATCGACGAGATATAATATGATTGAAGAATTGTATTTCTCAAAAATCCAGATCAATAAGGGAATAATTTCCACTAGTAAGTACCTATACAGTCCCAGGATTGTCTTTACAACAAGATAAACTTCTTCATTATTAACTTTTTGAGAAAAATTCATTCTTCATAAAAGTTTTTGCCTGTCCTAAAATGGCTAATCCCGTTTATACATTTCCAAATTTCCATAGCATTTTAGAAAAAAAAATACAAAATTATTAAAATATAGTTATATTTTTAATGTCCTAAAAATCAAAACGCGTTTCTATGCTAATATAATTTTGGATTTTCATGTTTTTATTCTTTGACGTTCGTTGTAGTAAACCAGTCAATTATGAGAGTTAAACAACTATCACTGAATTTTTTAATCATTGAATTTTTAATCTTTTTAATTTTTTAATTAATAATAAAATTAAAGGTCTTATTGTTTTTTTCTGTTTCATCTATTACAATAAAAAATAGCCACTCTTTCTTTAAGATATATTGATTGAACAACAAAGTGTTGACTTAGAGAAAGAAACTGAATAAACTTAACAATAGGAGAAAAACTCACGTCTTTGCTCTTTAAAGATGGCGTACTCCTTGACGAGGATGATCCGCTTCTGCTTGGAGGCCTCTCCACCTTTATTTTGTCTCCATTCGAGCTGCCGTTCTCTCTGATATCGCTGGAATTCCCTAAAGATACGTGCTCGCCGTTCGTGTGAGGCGACGACGCTTCCTGAAAACAAAACAAATTCGTTGTTGTTTTAAAAATACAGAAGAAATCACTGCTATTCTACTTGCTTTAACGTCTGGCACACTAGGATTGAAACAAAATACAAGCCATTCAATTCCAGCCGGCCAAACTATCGTCTTTTATAGTCACAGCTCATTCAGTACCAGCTGGTATTCTTAGCTAGATTTTGGGCAGGTCTTCGACGACCGGTCACTTTATCAATGGAGTAGGTAAGCAAATTTTCGTAAAGGATTATTAAACGATTATGTGTACATGAAGTTTACCAGGCTGGTTATGAATAACCTGTGATACTACATACAAACTAATCAAAACAAAGAATTTACTTTATATTAATGCGTTGTGTAAAAAGTTTTTCTCTAATTATTGCTGGTAGTTTACGTTAAAAGTTTTTCAATTCTTCATATACATGTGAGATTTAGCTCTTTATAATTCAGAGAACGACCCTAGATATTATAGGTTGGGACGAATACTACGATCGCTATAGCTAGTTAAGAACACGCTATTGAGAATATCGGGTCACTCTTATGTTATCCTGAGTACTACGACAGAATAAAGGAGTTATGAAGGAAATCCAGTGTTTTATTTGGCAAATACGAATTACATTCTACAACATCAGAAGTGGGATCGACCTACTAAAAGTACTACAAAATTTTTCAAAATGTACCAATATGCCATACTGTATGAATTTCACATACATATATTAATCTTCAGTTCTAATTTTTGGTATTAGGTTACAACAACAAAAAAATATAGCCTTACCTCATTAGCTACATCTACAACTAAGTCTTGGTCACTTTTCTCTCCGTCACTTTCCTGAAATAAAAAAAAAATATATTTATAAAAACTAAAAATACTTCTTAATTAAAGAAGTTTAGAATCACAACGGAAGGGGAAAATACAAATAATAAAACAGGAAAAAACAGACAAAAACAAATGAAAATAAATATTTAAAGGAAATAAAGCCCAAAGGTGTAAAACAAACCATGTTCCGATTTAAAAATAGTATTATATAAACGAAATCAAATAAACACGATCGTTTTGTGAAACAAAAACAAAAGGGCTTGAGGTTTATACGAAATATTTTTTCCAAAAATAAACGCGTAGGTATTATTTTATTTTAATGAAAAAAGAATATTTTTTAATTGCCATTGCAAACTAAAATTTTCAATTTTTTTAAATACCAAAGTAACTTTGGCGATTGATGAATAATTAAATAAACCGTCCACGGCATAAACAAAAAGTTCCAATTTAAATTGGACATCGGGATTGAATTAAACAAAAAAGCGTTGCAGAAATCTATTTCCGCTGAAAATAATTCCTAAAAAAGGTAAACTAAGATAACTTAAAGTGTTTTATACAGGGTTAATTGAAAGATTGTTTTTTATACTAACTTCAAAACACCTTGTTCAATATGGTTCTGACCGAAAAATAATGATTTAGGAAAATTTGCTTAAGAAATTATTGCACAGGGTGTTTTAAAGTTAAGGTAAAAATACTACTCTTTGATTAACCCTCTTACACCACTTGACAGCTAAGGTCAAGGTTATTAAATTAAACAGGGTACCTTAGTAACTTGACATTAGCCGTCTAATTGCGAGTCATCATGTTGTACCCAGCAGATTTCAGCTTGTTTACAAATAATTTTATGTTGCTTTCCACGTATTAAGTCCATTATAGGATAGTTTTAGTGGACATACTATATTTCTTTTAGTTTTAGTGTACTTAATGTATTATAATTAATATTAATGAACTAAATATTGTTTTTTTTTTTAAATTATTTATCAAATTTTCCTTAGAAATAGAGATCATTCCTACCTATAACAGCTTATAATCTTCAGTATTGTTTTTGCTGAGTGTGTATATGTATAATAAATTATTTCGACTAGGTTTCGATATTTTAACATGGTCAGAAGCTAAAACTATTTTTTTTCGAATACAAGTACTGCTTAAAAATGTTAAATTTCAGCAAAATTAGAGAAACATGAACAAACATTTTATAGAAGAACAATTTAACTTTGTAATTGTGTTGTTATTATTAAACATTTTGTTAATAGTTATTTTAAATGTCCCCCTAGCTGACGTAACCGCGCCAACTACTGTGATTGGTCCAAAGTCCGAGGCACAACCTTTTTAATATAATAACCTTGAGCTAAGGTGCTCAATTAAGCTTCAATCAACTTCATTCAGAACCTCGCAATTAGTGGAATAAATTAGTGGTTTCAATCCTTTAATTTCAATGTAAGCATTCAGAACGTCAGTATTAGTGGTAGAGATTTTCAATTAGTAGAAAAAGGTGACACATTTTTAAGTTTTCCACTAATTATACTTCAAAATTTGCGAGAAATGTCATTTGGGCCTTTGATTATCTTCCGTCAAGAGAAATTGTGGTTAGAAATCAAAAGTTGACTGTTCTATAAGCTAAATATTAGGCTTTCTCTATGGATACAACTGACTAACACAAGCTGTTGCTAGGATATTCTATTAATCTTAATTGTGTTTTTTAAACATTGTGAATGATCGTAAACTAAAAAGTATAAAGTATAATTGAAACCACTAATTATGAGGTTCTGAATGAGGCTTTAATCCAAGATTTTAAAGATGAGACTACGGCCGATAGTCGGTATAATACACAGACGAAATAAAAAAATTCCGGCCTGTCTACCGATATAGTGGGCCCGAGTTAAACAGTTCCGAAATCGGAAATGCGGGTCCGCGCCGGCTTACAATAACACCTAATGGGGGGATTACTTTGTGAGACAGCAAACAAGGGCGGTCGGCGGGGGACCTGCCACCCCCCTCGCAGGCGACGGCGGGGAAGGGGTAGCGGCAAAAGAGGGAACGGACGGGAAAAAGAGGAAGAAATGGAAGAGGGCAGTAGAGTGGGGGGATAGTCGACGTTTCATTGAATTGAGAGCGGGTTTTTTCGGAGAGGTATACGTCCTGATTTAATGAAAAGGGACGGACGGCTCGGAAAAAAATAGAAGGGCAATTTAAGGTTTAAATTTTGACGAAAAGTGTATTGTTTGTACAATGTTTTGTGTAATAAAATATTGATTTAGGTCTTCCATTGTCATTATTTACGTTAATTACGGTAGGTGGGACTCGAAGATCTTTATAATGTTGAAATACTACGTTTAGATTATTCAAATAACCAATAGGTAATTCTTTAACCGATTAAAGTGTCACTGCCCTCTCTAATAGAACAGCCTCGGAGCGAGATTTATGACGTCACGCTAGTTAGATATTACGTATTAATAAATATGTTGCAGAATACATGGAAAACATAATTATTGCTCAGATTTTTTGTTTGTATTTTAAAAATAACATAGTTTACATGAAATATACATAAATATACAGTTAATAAATACAATATATTCGGGGTGCTATAAATTCGGGGTACGAGCATTGGTATCTCGGTAACCGTAATAGATACGAACATGATTAAATCGGGGCAAAGTTGCGCTTTGGGATGTTCACCAAAATGAGATCAAAAAAGTTTTAAAAATACCAAGGATTGCTGAGTGTTTTTGGGAAAAACGGATTGTTTTTGAAAATCTATTTTATTTTTTCCTGTCGTTATTTTTTAGAAAGTCAAAAAACTAATTGTACATTCTCATAGCCACTTTCTTAGGGCTATCTGATAATATTTTTAGATTTTCAAATTAGCTGATAATTTGTGATATACAGAGGCCAAGTTATTTTTTTTAAATACGGATCTGCATTTTATATTTCAGGTTTTGATAGAACTCGAGTACAATGACCAATGACACACTTAATTTTTTTTTTGACATAGAGTGTGGTGACCATATATCTGGCAGTAGTTAAGTAGTCATTTAGGAAGTCACTGAGGAACCAAAGTAATTAGTTTTTTGCACTGCAATAATAAATAATGCCGAATATCAACCGGCAAAATGTGAATACAGAAGCTGACCGAATATCTAACGATGAACAGCTGATGAAGTAAACAAGTCTGCCATCAGGCTGTTCTATTAAAGAGGCCAGTGAATGTTTGTTTTGGTTGGACAAATTTACAGGGTGTGTCTTAAATAAACACAAGTATTTTAAGGGGTAGTAAAACTAGACAAAAACACATTTTCTATTTGTCATTTTTTTAAATAAATTCGAAATAATACAGTAATTTAACTTTGGAAATTTGGAAAATAATGCTTACATTTTGAGAACCGTCAATCCAATCAGTTGGCCATGCGAAGGCCTGTGATTCCACATGGGCAAGAAAGTATACACTTAATTTGACTGAAAATACTTCTTTTTGGAGTGTTATTCAAAAATGGCTCACCCATATAACTTTTTATTTTTACAGATAAAAAAACAAGATTTAGTATATTAGGATAGGACATAAATCAGGTTCGAATGACATATTCAATTAGTTTCGGTCACTTCCTGTTTCACCTGAAATGACTATAACTTTTGATTTTAAATAGCACCCTCGATATATTTTTTTAATTTTATTTGATAGACTTTCTGAATAGAATGGCATATCATATATATATATAACTTAAGACATTGGTTTTCTCTTAAAAAATAGTATTTTAAATTTCAATCTAGAGTGCCATGGCTGTGTTAAAATCCTTAATTTTTGATCAAGGAACCTTGGAATACATTTCATAGTCTACACGTTTCCTGGCCAGTTAAAAATTGCCCTAATCCTATTTTTAAACTCAATTTTTTCAAATGGAACGAGGAAAAAAGCATTTTTTAACGAATAATTTACAGTTTGTTTTTACCACATACTTGGTATTTCGAATCAAATTGTCATTGTGAACACAGTTAAATTTAAAATACTCTTTTTTAATCGAAAATGTCAGAAGTTGACACATAATATGTCATTCTATTCAAAGTGTTATTTTCTATCGAATAAAGTAAAAAAAATACAGAGGGTACCATTTAAAAATCAAAAGTTCCAGATATTTCCGGCGAAACAGGAAATGGCCCAAAATAAATTAATACGTCAATCAATCCTGATTTCTGTCATTATACTGATAGAAATTAAACTCTAGCATCATACCCTTTTATTTAAAAAATACAGTATTACAGCGAAACTAAGTAGGTATACTCTGTTTTTTTTTTCTCAGGTAAGATTTCGACAGACGATGACAGAAAAAAAGCAGATGACTTCCATACCAATCCATTTATTTCATTAAAAAAAGTTTCTAATATTTTTTAAGTTAACTATGGATGGGTTTTTATAAGTAAATGCGTCATGCGTCGTCTCTTGTTTTTAACCAGTTTTATTGGTTTATTTCACAACAGGGCAGATCATGTTTTAATATTATTGGTTTGACGCAACGATAACGACAAACGGATTCCGATGCGTATGAACCCGACTTATGATTTTTGGGAGTTGTCAAACTCTTGCCAAATTATAGGTTATAATTTTGTGTCAAATATTTTGGACTGTGTTGTTACTTGTGTTTCGTGTTTTTTAAAATTAAAATTTAAAATTAAGTGTTGACCCAGACCATAGTTTACAGTTAATATTCGGTAACCAGAGACCGCCAGAAAAACACAGTTTGCCAGACACTATGGCCAGAGAGTTGTATTAGCCACAAATAAAGTTGTATACCATCTCGTATATGGTACCAAACACTGGAGTTTCTGTAAAATAACATCACACGATAGGTAAATAATAAATTTTAGTACTAGCAGTAAAAATTAAGATTAAAGTTAATTAACCAAGATTATATTTTTTCAGTTTTATACAGTTTTTTTTGCAATATTTTGAAGTAATCACTTGTCACTCAAAATTTAAATATATTAATTATGCGTTCCAATTGTACCAACATATTTCTTTGTAAAAAAATAAACTACTTTGAAATTAAAATGACAGTCACATCTATCACTGTCAAGAATTTTGTCGTTGGACAGACTATATTAAAAAAACAGTATTACACACCCTGTAAACTAAAAAAATATATTTTTAAATGTGAAGAAAATCGAGACTCCCTCTGTTATATATGATAATGAAAGCCAAAAATAACCGTTATAATAAAGTAATCGATTTTATATGCTAAAAGAAAATTGGAATCTTTGCCCCGCTATTAAAGCCATCTCAAAACGAAAATTCAGAATGTTTTTCTCGCCGGTAAATAGCGTTAAGGAAGATGGGTCTAAAGGAGAGAGCGGAAGGAAATTAATGAGTCGAGGGCGAGTTTACTTACGTGGCCCAATTTCTCTTCTTTTCGCCGTTTGACCTGTTCCACGTCGGGAGGAGATCTCGCCCTGTATTTATCCCTGTCGCCGGGCGAGACGGAATTCTAGAAAAAAACAAAGAAAGCCATATAAATCACTGTTCCTTCCTACTGTATGAGAGAACAAAAAACACGATCTGAAATGTTAATTTTAAATGATTATACAGGGTGTCAAAAAATAGTGTATCTAAGGGTGGGCGATTCTATAAATAAAACAAAAAGTTCCTATGAACATACGGCTATGTCCTAAAATGTTTCCCGAGGAAGTTACAACCCTCGAAAGTGCAAATAAAGTTAGATACAAAATATTCTTGACACCCTGTACAATTCGGATTACCTTGGGTGATCCGATGATACTCGTATAAATTTATGTCCTAAAATGCTTCGTTTCGGAGATACAGAGTGTAGAAGTTTCATTTTTATTTCGATTTTTTACAAATAATTTCTGAACTAACGTCGATATTTGAATGAAAATCAGTGTTTGGGTATTTTTTGCCATGGGAAATTTGATTTCAACGTCAATATGACTCTTAATTGCAGTGGGCACCATATTTATTTTGTATGAGGAGTAATAACTTCTGTACCGTACCTGTATAAAACCACCCATTTCCGCGGTTTTATGAAGTGAAACTTTTTTACGCGCGGTGGGGGTAAAAATTCAAGGCCGTGTGTCACGGCCGTGACGTACGAGCTAGCAAGGGGATTTCTGTACTATTAATCCGGTAAATGATGGAGATAAACAATTGTAATTGATTAAAATCTTATTTTAAGATGAAACTTTTGTTAACAACATTCTGAGAATTCGAATATTGAATTGAATCATAATTGAATAATGACAAGACAAGTGACATTTTTCTAAAAAAGACAGCGATTTAGAGTGACAATTTGGTTATGTAAAATTTAGAGTGACAATTTTGATTATGCAAAAGAGATGCATATTCTATGAGTTTACTGGTTGCCTAACGATTAACATTAATTTAAAAATAAGTCCCTAACGTAAATAATAAACAAAAACAGACCACAGACCACACAAAACAAATTGTTGGTTAGTAGCAGTTAGTAGTGTCAGAAATATAGAATGTACTAGTATTTTGGTTTAATTGCCACAGCTGCCAGGGCTATCCGGCCGGGTGATAGAATTATCGTTTTTTAATAAAAATATAAAAAGAAACATTATAAAATTATAAAGCAAGAATAGTATACAGCTACGCCGAAACAGCGGTTCCCATTAGAACACCGAGGTTAAGCGACGTAAGGCGATACTAGTGGATGGACGGGTGACCGGTTCGAAACTCTGTATCGTGCTGTTGTCCAATAAAGGCAAAAGTGTAAAATCTATTAAGACACACTGCTCATTCAAGCCGGTTCGAGGCCGGATGAGATCGGATATCTAGTGAGTAAGTCGACATAGACACTTGCCAAGTCGGTAGGCCATTGACCATGATATGGCCGAGGACCGCGGTTCGGATTCCGCGTAAACAAAGTAGGCCCCGTCCAGATTAGCCCTGGCAGCAAAAAGGAGACGTTAACTGAAATCTTTACTTAACTTTATTTTTTTGGAAAACATGTTTACTTGTACAAGGTATCACAAAAAGTACTAGTAGGCGAGGATAATTTATCTAAAACACCCCCCTGTATGTACTTAAGAATTTGATTACGTGGGGGATTTTTGAAAAATGTGTTTACCCATGATATTACAAATAATAATATGATGAAACCAGAAGTAAACGTTATATACGATACTATATAAATATCAATATTTAAGTTTATTTGCATAAATAAAATCAATACTAACTGACATTTTTACTTTAAAGCAAGTGTCTACAGAAACCAGATCTATCTGCTTTTAAATAACATCTGCGAAATTTTAACACTTGGTATTTGCAGATTTAAATTCTATTATTGTATTATTTTTTTTGTTGAACTCCTCAGATTTTTTGCGAAACACAAAAAATAGAAATTTAGAAAATATATAAAAATAAGAAAACAGAAGAAAGAAAAATAATTGACATAGAAGGTAAAGCATAAATTAAATAAGAAAAAGAAATAATTAGAAACTAAATAAATACAAATAGACTGAGGCCCACTATGTAGATATGTTTGGAATTATTGAAATACTTTTGTATTTATAATAATAAAATAAATAATGTAGTAGTTTAGGCTTTCGCGGCCATCGTTTGAAGAATTTTGGTTTTTCGGGTTATTAGGCCGTCGTCGGTTAGAATTGCTTCCTAACGTTTCGCTAGCACGAGTGGCTAGCATCTTCAGAGGTGTGTTTGCTCCGATTGCTCACACTAGACTGATGCCTCCGCGTCGGCGTAGCGCGTATTTATGCGTCGGCGGAGGGGCGTGGCTTGTTCGGGTGGTAGTTCTTCCGGAACTGGTCTACTTCTCTGTGCTGCTACTTTGGTCCTAGATATAGCTGGATGCCAAATTCTGTTAAGGTAGAAAGTTTCTTCCTTCCTGTTGAAATTATTTGGATGTTTGTGAATTTCAACAGCTTCCCTGACCAGACGAGGATGATATCCAGATGTTGTGGCAATGACTTGGGTGTCTTCGAATTGGATTTTGTGATCACCATCTCTTAGAGCATGTTCTGCTACGGCTGACTTCTCTGTTTGCCCTAATCTGCAGTTTCTCTTGTGTTCCGTAAGTCTCGTTCCTACTGAGCGTTTGGTAGTTCCAATATATACGCTACCGCAGGAACAAGGTATACGGTAGATCCCTGCAGAGGATAATGGTTCTCTTTTGTCTTTTGCTGGTCTTAAGCAGTCCCTTATTTTTCGGGTAGGTTTGTATATGGTTTTGATGTTATGCTTCTTGAGAACTTTACCAATCCTATCGGTGACCTGGGAAACATATGGAAGGAAGGCCTTATTAATGATGTTTTCCTGTTCTAATAAAATAAATAGTTTATAATAGACGTATGTGGTAAAAAAATAAAGTGTTCTTGGAGAAATAACCGTATTTCAACAGTCCCAGACTAAAAATAAACGATACAAAAATAAATAAATAAAAATAAAGAATAACTAACAAAGAGACCAAACCGCAGAGGAAAGAAGTGATAGACATGTTATATGTATTAAAAAAAACACAGAAACTAACAAAAATATTTCAATAATTATTCTAAAACTAAAAATAAATTAGAACAAAAAATAAAAATAAAGAATAACTAACAAATAGACCAAACCGCAGAGAAAAAAAGTGACAGACTCACCAAGATTAAGAATCACAGAAAAGTTACAAAAGTAATTCAATAATTCCAGAGTAAAAACAGTTAAGAAAAAAAACAAGAAAAAATAAGAAAATAAAAAATAACTCACAAAGTGCTGCCTTACCAGTCTTTCTTCTAAAGCGTTGGTGCTGCTCGGCCTCTTGAGGTCCTCGTTGGCCGCTCTGGGGTGCAAGTTCTCCGGCTTGAGGAGGGGGTGCGCCGCCCCCGCTACGGCTGCGGGATGGGGCGCCGCTCCCGAGGGTAAGCCTGCCCCGAAGCCTAGCAAACCTGCGGCTGCCGCGGGTCCCATTCCTGGCAGACCAGGATGGGGACCCATAGGTAGCCCGGGTCCGCCAGCATGCGGCAACTGTTGTGCATGTATCTGCTGCTGCGAACAGAAAAAACACAAGTTAATTTATGTCACAAAATATTTAGTTAATTTGACTTTTAAGCCGGGTTGACACTTGGATGCTGCCCTATAAGTAAACGTACATGGATGCTGTGCACGTTTTACTAGTACGCTGCTTCTATCGCAGTGATAGCGAACTTTTTGGGCTCGGTGTATTAGAGTTTTGAATAATAGGAATAATAAAATAAATTTTAAGAAAAAAAACTTTTTTAAAAACAAGCTTTTATATACACTAAAAAGAAAAAAATAAACTCTTTTTCTTTAAAACTTTTATTATGAACTTATAACGTCATTATACAATTTTAAATATTATATAAAAGCTTGTCGCGAGATTTGTTGTTGAAGTATATACAATATACATAACAATCTAAAACCTGTATCTATCCTGTCTCATTTTGAAAGTTTATGTTATGATAGACCACTAAACCAGGAATTACAAGATAAAGTTGTCGTACCAGATTTTTATGAGTGCAACTGTACACTCAAATCTCGCGACAAGCTTTTATACAGGGTTGTTCACCACATACGACACGGAGTATTGTAGCTAAACGATTAGATTTTTACAAATTGTAAGTTTTGGGTTCGTTGAAGGACTATGAGAGCTACAATTTAAAAATATTTTTACAAGATAAAGAGTGTCCCAAATAAATAAAAAATATCAAAGATGTATTTTTTTAAACGGAACACCCTGTATATTATTGCATTTTTAGTTTCTACGATTAAAATAAAGGTAAATTCGATTAAGGTTGATTATACTTAAACCTTACCGTTTTTGAAATATTTTCAATTTTGTGAAATTGAAAATATACAGTATATATTTTAAGGCTTTATTTCTCCGAGGGTATCGAAGTTTTTAATACTAAATATTTACTGAAGTTTATTTATTGATCAGTTATTGTGTTGCAATAATAAAAATTGTACTACCTTATACAGAGTGTCTAAAAATTTATTTTAAATAATTACTAGCTTTAAACGGCAATAACTTGTTTAATTTAAACGGAACACTCTGTATATTTTATGAGAATCAGATGCACAATTTAATTGTCTATCAAATTGTATCATACCACTTTTTACCTATTCCTTCAAGTTTTCGTAGAAAATGCATTTTCTTATAATTTAGACCTCATTTATATACCCATAGAATATTGACATTTTAGATTGTTTTTAAAACAACAAATGTACAAAATATACAGGCTAGTAATATTATCGTTTTTAGTAAAACGTAATATTACTAGCCAATTTGTATGCAAAAAGAAAATTATTTAAATCTTTATAAAAGCGTATACCATTAATTAAATATACCACCAGTATTTACGACCAAATACTAATTAATTACATACTTAATTGTGTTCGTTAATAAATTATTCTAAATAAATGTGGATTTGAATCAGAAATCAATATAATAATAAGTTATGAAAATGAACGTTTCTGTTGTTATAAATAAGCATTTGTCAAAAAATGAAATAACATTTTTAAGGTGTTGGTTTTTTACCACACTGTCTAATACACATACATAATTCAGATTTTTAGTATTTGGAGCAATTATTATTAATCAACGCAAACAGTCAATTAATGTAGTTTGAATTCTCGAATCATATTAATTGGTCCTCTTTAACAAATATTTAAAGACTTTTTTATATTTTTTAATGAAATAAACGAATTATATCGACAATATTAGTATCTGTACTCTTTAAAAATTTGGTACATCTTTAAAAATAATCTAAAATGTCAGTATTCCATGGGTATATTGATAAATGAGTTCTATATTACAAGAAAATGCATTTTCTACAAAAACTTGAAGAGATAGGTAAAAAATGGTATAATACAATTTGATAGACAATTAAATTGTGCATCTGATTCTCATAAAATATACAGGGTGTTCCATTTAAATTAAACAAGTTATTGCCGTTTAAAGCTAATAATTATTTAAAATAAATATTTAGACACTCTGTATAAGATAGTAAATTTTTTATTGTTGCAGCACAATAACTGATCAATAAATAAACTTCAGTAAATATTTAGTATTAAAAACTTTGATATCCTTGTAGAAATGAAGCCTTAAAATTTATACTGCAATTTTACAAAATTGAAAATATTTCAAAAACGGTAAGGTTTAAGTGTAATAAACCTTAATCAAATTTACCTTTATTTTAATCGTAGAAACTAAAAATGTAATAATATACAGGGTGTTCCATTTAAAAAAATACATCTTTGATATTTTTTATTTATTTGGGACACTCTGTATCTTGTAAAAATATTTTTAAATTGTAGCTCTAATAGTCCTTCAACGAACCCAAAACGTAAAAATCTAATCGTTTAGCTACAATATTCCGTGTCATATGTGGTGAACAACCCTGTATAATATAAAATTGTGTAATGACGTTATAAGTTCAAAATAAAAGTTTTAAAGAAAAATTTTGTTTCTTTTTAGTGTATTTAAATAAAAGCTTGTTTTTAAAAAAGTTTTTTCTTAAAATTTATTTTTTACTTTTTAGTTATGCTGGTTTCTCAGTGCCACACACTTAAACTCATTTTTTTTCTTAAATAACTTCCTATGGGCATCCTAATAATATGGGCATCCTAATATTATATAATATAATATCGATTTTCATTAAAAAAGGAGAACTTAAAAAAAACGACATATGTCAAATTTGACAGTTCAAATGTGAGACAAATAAAATGAAAACCAACTATGGGTTAGGGGGCATCCAATATATCGATTTTTATCAAAATCGGATAACTTTCAAATTTTTTTGACAGCTCAATTTTTTTTCTTTCATTTTAGCCCATGGCCATCCTATATATCGATTTAGAGGCTTATAAAAATATAAATATTTGTGTAGGTTAATTATTTGTTTTAGTGTCATTTAAAATTGGGAACCCCTGTTAATAATTATTATTAACGCGTAAGTAAGTAATAATATTATTTATAAATACCAACGCTTGCTGTTATGAAAAGCAAATATTTGAATTGTGAAAATGTATATTTTTGAAGATGCGTGTCACCAAAAAGGAAGATAGCATGGTTATCTATATATAGATCCAGGCTATAGATCCAGCAGATAAGGGTAAGCCTTAAATAAATGCAAATATTTTTAGGGGTAGTATATTTCGACCCCAGAAACAATTTTATGAAGTTTTTTCACGAGAAAAACATTTCGCAAATTTGGAATTTTTTTAGAAAAATGTTGGACATTTTTTAAATTTTTATTTAAAAATAATATGGTTATATGGCAGCATCCAAGTATACTTCCAGTCCTGGGTGATATTAAGGGTGAGTCTTAAATGAGTGTAAATATTTTTAGGGGTGGTATATTTCGACCCCAGAAACAATTTCATTAGATTTTTCCACGAGAAAAACATTTCGCAAATTTGGAAATTTTTGAGAAAAATGTTGGACATTTTTTAAATTTTTATTTAAAAATAATAATATCTTCATAATATGTAGTAGATTAAATTTACAAAAAAGAAACCCCAGAAAAGATGCAGCGGTTCTCAAAATGTAAGCGAAAAATCGTAAGAGTAAGTAAAATAAAAAAAGCGGTTATTTTGGATTTATTTAAAAAACGACAAAGAGAAAATATGTTTCTTTTAACGAGATCTTCCAGCTCTGAAAATATTTACACTTATTTAAGACTCACCCTGTATAGTATATATTAATATTCGTAGAGTATCCTGTCGCTATATGTATAGTTGATAGCAAAATATGCGTTTTAAATTCAGTGGTTTCAATTGATCCTGACCTAAACCACCAATGTAGACAATGGATAGCCAACTAATAGCTTAAATAGATTTAGTAATATTGAATATTTCAATTTTCGAACTAATTTCAAGTGATTATTTGCGCAATATATCAGTTTTAATAAATCTCTATATTACGTACATATTGTAACACTGTCAAATATAGGTAGCTAAGCAATAATATGTTACAACAAATTAATATAAATATTATAAGCTATAATCATTACTAATTTTATCCCTTAAATTTAGTATGTCATACAAAATTCTAATCTAAAATAAAAAAAATACACTACACTAAAATAATCTAAATTAAATAAAATAGTTAAAGATTATATCCATGCAAATGCACAAATCAAAATATTACAGAGAAAAAGAATAAAATTAGTAATCTAAGCTTAATAAATCAAGAAAAGGAAACAATAAAAATATCAAAAGTCATATAAGAAAATAAAAAAAAGTGCAAATTCGACGCCATAACTCTTTTTATCTTTATTTTTTCCTTTTTAATATTCCATGCAGACCTACTGAAGTATTACTTACAAGCAACTGCTGCAGACCCTGCTGTTGCTGTTGCTGGAACAACAACAGAATTACAATTAATTTTTCTCATCTAAAAATGGGTAAATTAATAAAAACCCCAGAGAAATAAGCTAAGTTAGAAGAGATCTTACATTGTTGCCACATTTTATGGGAACGTTCAGTTGAAAACAAAGCCTTCATTTAAAATGCGGGAATGTAATTCCAATATTATAATTTTATTTCGGTACTTGCAACAAAAACAGTAGAGATAGTAATTATTTTTTGTTTGATAATTATTGCTTACAATGTTAATACAAATATGATTATAGCAATACTTTCTAATTTGGCAATATCGTCTGTTCGGATAAATATTGCTCATCAGTTATGAGTTTTAATTTTCTTTTCATGACAATGATTAAAACTAGACTGTTTTGTACAGGGTTCTTAAGTTTTAAACATTTTATTTAAAAAGTGTCGTAAAGGTAGTCAAACACTATTACTTGTTTAAATAGTGGTGATACTCAAAGAAGAAAAAAATATATGTATCTTAAGGCTCTGTATTTACTTATTTCTCTGTGATACAACCCAACACCAATATCTATAAAAAGAATATAATGATATAAGTACAACAACCACTCAAATAACTTCAAATATTACGAAATCAATAGAGAAACTATTATTTTTAATTAATACGTATTTATTATTTCTAATTTTATAAATTAATTTTTTCGTTTCTACAATGTGATATTTATTACATTGTGTAGAGATTTTTCTCTTCAGTACAAATTACTAATTTGAAATTAGTAAAAGTTTAAATAGATATGACAAGTTTAAATAACTCTGACAACAGCCTGCGAAAGCGTTTTAATCCGGCCCTGAGAGTTACCCGCTGCTAATATGGCGTCGCGATTCGTGAAACGTCATCAAATTCGGCAGAGTCGGCGTTCTGGTTGATTTCTATTTTGTGTATGTAGTATAAGACGGTATTACCACAGATTAGGTATCCTATAAGTATGCAGATAAAAATCTTGTCCCTAATTCGTGGTACGAAAATTGTTTTTTATGACGATGTGCAAACGAGTCAAATTTCCTGTGCGCAAAAATAAACTCGCGTAAAATAACAATAAACAGCGTAATAGAGAGATATCGCTAAACCGAATAGCGTGCATGGACGTTAATAAGGCCAGGTGTTATTTCCTTTACGTGAGGTGGTATTAACTCTCTTCATTTATAGTTATCGGAACGGAAAGAATTCTGATCGCGTCGCGTCCGCTATTTAAACTTAACCTAACTTTGAATTTAAAACTTTGAAATTGTTTTGTTTACTAGGTATTTTAAAACTAAAGGGCTAAAGTGCTTATTTCCAGTGCTTTATTGTTCAACGTCTGCCAGTGGGTTTAGGGCAACAAGCATCAAATTCTCTTAGAAGGGCTAAGTCGTCATCTGCTGTAAACCGACGAAAGACTCTTTATAGGTTCTTTAGTATTGGAAGAGGTGGAATCCATATTTTGGGCCCATATTTATTTAATTAAAACTAATCCCAGCTACTTAAATATCAAATTGCCTAATAAAACTAAAGCAATAATTCAAAACAATTCAAACATAACCTAAAATAAAAGATCTCGCCGGCCGGCTCCGGTTGTCAAATACCCGCACATGCCCATTTAAGCAATTTTTAAACGTTATCAGAGGTTATTTAGAAAAAGCGCTTGGTGTAATTGATCCGCAAATTACGTCAGGCGGTAACGTTATTAGCGGGTGTTGCGTTAAAAATTGACTCGCGCATATCGTAACCATGATAAGGTACGCGTAAATACTGGATGACGCTATTCGGTTTTCCGATATCTCTCTAATAACTGTGCCGGTCAGGCGCTGTGCATAATTTTAGAGGCCATAAGTGGGCATGCTATGTGCGCAAACTAGTCACCTAACTAGTGCCCGATTCCGAAAATTGGAACCACGAAAAATAATAAAGAAAAAACAAAAATTATAATCTGTATAATCTGTGGTATTACTTGCCAAATTTCATAGTTCTAGATCAATGGAAAATGCCCTATAAATTTTGATTCCCTTGAGAGTGTCGAGATATAGGTACGTGAAGTGAAAATTATAGTTATTTTTTAAACAAGACGATAAAATGGTATTTTATCGTCGACCGAAAGGATTAATTAACGAGCGATGAAATCGCGAGTGAATTAATTTCGGGAGACGATAATGCAATTTTATCGTCGTGTATAAACAATATTCTTTCCATAGCGAGTTACGTTTTAGAAAATATTCAGAAATTATTATTTTAAGAAATTTATTCCGAGTAGAAAAAATATTATGCTGGGTTGGCGTTGGTTTCTATGTAATTTGACAAATAAATAAAGCTGTCTCTTTAGTTGTCAGTTTTGAGCCAATATTATAATCTCTTTCGTGTCGATTGCTGATTGAATTGGAGCCAGAAATGGCTCAAAATGAAATAAGTAAATTACAAACAGATATTCAGGCTGAGGCGACAAACGCCATATCCAAACTACTTCCATTTAAATCCCGAATAACTTGGAATACAAAAATTTTCAAAAATGGAAGCAATTAAAAAACGTGCGAGAAGCGAGAAGAAATAAAGTTTTTAACCTATCCTCGCTGTTAAAGTATCATTTAATTTACCCTTGCGGTTAAAGTACTATTTTATCTGCTATTTTTGATAGATATAAGGCAATTTTAACAGTTATAGCAACTTAAGAAAAAAATAACTATAAACTTATTCTATTCCCAGTAACTAAAAAATTCTTGTGAAGGATTAACCACCTGAGAAGCATAAAAGTATAACAAACACTGATAAAAAAATAAAGCTCGGAATTTTCCTTTTTCTCAATTCGTTACAATCTCCCGATTCCCATACACATATTTGGATAGACATGATCGATAACACTTTACACAAATCGTAAATAATCGTGTAATATTTACATAAAGGCCAAAGATTACGAGCGATAGTCCCGGCAACGGCGACCATTAAACGGGGGCGAATTTATTTTTCGAACATCGGAACCGAAAATAAAACCGGCGCGGCGGGGAGAGAAAAAAAACACACAGTACTAACGGCCGCCATCAAATCGTTTAACAAAAATATTAAACTACCAAAAATCATTAAGCTGCGAACTCGCGCGCCCACGCCTGAACCGAACAATAAACGCCAGGGGGAGTTATTCGTACGCCAACGTTAAATTTAACGTTAAAATATAAAAAGAAACATTAATAATGAATTAAACCTAAATTTTATATCTCATGGTATAACAGCGTATTTAGTACCAGCTGGTCCGCGTGTTATCTTAAGCTGAGGTTTTTTTCTCTATACAGAGTCAAGATACAAAGACAGAAGATACAAAACATTCGTTCGCGGGGAACCCATTCGTCGCGCCCTACATTTGCGCCGAATGCACGTCTACACATGAAAAAGATTTCCTCCTAATCCCAAGGAATAATAACATTCGTCAGGTGTATCCTAGGACTTTGTTATCTACGTGGATAACTAAATTTGCTTCATTCTTGATGAATGTTTAATAGTTAACTCCTAAAAGGTCGAAATTAAATGTATGAAAAATATATGAAAATATATGTATGAAACTTCGTTATTATTTGATCTAGAACTATGAAATTTTGCACAAAATGACCAATTAAGTTTTCAGAAATTCCTCGCCCAAGGGAGTAAATTTAGGGGTTTCAAAAAAGCAACATGGATTGGAGGAGTAGATAAAGCTATGTCGGAGAAGAATCTTCATCTAGGGGACTGGGAAAATAGGAAAGGCTGGCAACTGGGTACCGAAAGGCATAGGACGCCATGAACCCGGATTTATATATATATTTAATTAAGAAGCAATGAGCGATTTTTGGAAATTTATTGAAACGACATTAGGGGCAAAAATTAATAAGAAAGTTTTTACTATTCAGCAACTTTGGTAATTATAAATTTCTGAATTAAACCTTAAATGACGAATTTCAACAATAATAAGCCATTTTTGAAAGATAGGAGATTATAATTAGAGGTAAGAGTTTGTATGAAACTTCATTACCACTGGCTCAATTTTAAATACCTTAAAATCTACCAAAATTCCTCTGCAGCCACTGGTATGGAGACGATATTCAAAAATTTGAGAAAAGGAATATGTCACATGCTTGAGTGAACGACTCGTACGGAGAGACACGTCATACCTGATACTTAGATACTTGAGTAGGTTATATGATTTTCCAGGTTATAATAAAGTTTTTGTCCCTTGCCTAAAGTACATAGTAGATTAAATTAGATTAATCTACTCTAATTATTTGAGGTGGCTATCGAGCACTTCTACTACGACCTTTTCAGATCTATTGTGGTTCTGATCTCTGGATTACATTCTCCAGTTCTAACCTAACCTAAGTTATTATCCTCTTCACTACGATATTATCTATGCTCTTCTTATCAGCTTTAGAAATTCCTTGATCCCACAGTACACCATTCAGCATAGATATTGCCCTCTTGCCTTGCATTATTCTTCTTAGGCCGCCGTCTCCCTTCGGAGGTTGGCGATCCAACTGGCTATGATGGTGCGTGAAACCGCACCTCTGAAAATATCAATTGATGTTCTTCCGAACCAACGACCATACTCTTTCCATCGTTATTTTTAATCCAAGATATTTATATTTGTCGCAGTTTTTTTTATCACGCTTCCATCCTCTAAGACTATGTTCTCTTGTGGCCCCCGTACAGGCATACATTTAGTTTTGTAATATTTACCTCCACCCCCATTTCTTATACTCTTCTATCAGCTTCCCTGCCATGTATTCAAGGTCTTCGATGGTCTTGGACTAGGACTATCTAGTTGTCCTCAAAAAATAGGGTGTATATACGGTGTCCTCATTTTATTAGGGGGATTCACATTCCTCTACACTTTAGCATCCACTTTTTTAGAGCTTGTTGTAGGTATATTTTGAATAGTATAGGCAACATACCTGCTTGAGGCCTTTTGTAATTTTTATGTTTTCTGATAATGAGTCGAATTTTTATTCCGGCTTTTGGTAAAGTTTTGAACTGC